TCTGGCATATAATAGAAACTTTTAAAATATTAGTTAACATCTTTATTTGTCAATATGACCAACCAAATCCCATTGTGACAAAACCTTCTGTAAATAGTTTTTCTAGTCACCCAAATGGTGTTCCAAACCATAAAATTCCTATTTGACCTAAAGATTTAACTTGCTGCACTAAAAGTATGCTACAAACTGATGACACATAAAAGCAACTTTAAATATATTTACCTAAAATTACTCTTGAAAATGTACTTCAAACTTAATCCTAATACAGTACTTCCACATATCACTGTCCTTCAGAGGGGTTCCAAATTATTGTATAGATTCCTAAAAAGGAAGGCCAATTTTTATATAATAATACAGGAATATGCAAATTTGTCGGGATGCCATAACGTCACAACCAAACAGCAGGGACCTTAGGCTACATGGTGCCTGGCCAGGATGAGGTACCTCAGGCCGTGCTTTATGGGGTTGGGGCTGGCTGGGTCTGGGTCTCACACAATACTGTCTGGGTCTCCTACATTTTCAAAGTGAGTGCAGTGGTGGACAGGAACTTGACTCTAGGTCCCGGGGCGCACTCCAGACTCTGCCAGGAGGGAGATTTTCATATACACTTTACTGATTTTCTTTCATCTCTGACACTTCTATCATAGAGAAAGGGCAAATAGCAATATTAAAATATTTCCTCTAATTAATTCCCTTTTAATGTGCATGACTTTCATGCACCAGCCACTAGTATTCTAAATTACACCAATTTGGAACCACACATCACATGGGAGTGATGTCCCTAAGATCCTGTGCTAACTCTAGTCATTGTCAAATCCCACCCATGTTTCCACTGGCCTTCTTTTCCCTGCCATGTGCAGCTGGAGTGTTTCATGCACTGAGCTCATCAGCTGTCACCAGCAAGTTGAAGCCAGGTCTAGTCAGGCTAGTGTGTGAATGTTTGGTCTCTGAGAAAACATCTAAGACTTGTGCAGGAAGAGATGCTGCTGATGTCAGTCAGTCTACCCAGCCTAAGGTCATCCTAATGGCTGCTTTCCAATAAAGACAGAGATTGAGCTATCGAATGAGTTAGAGATAGAGCACAGATACTACACTGCATTTTTAAAATTCTTATTTTATTATTCAGTGAGCAGGAATGGACTAAATAGGTCTTTCTTTTCTAATAAATGTTCATCTTGGAGATGTTTTTTTTCTGTGTTGATTCTTTAAATGTGTAAGAGCACACAAACACATAAGGAATTTTGCCTGAGTAAGGACTATGGAATTACTTTGGGGGTCAACTTCCTGCTCCTTGGAATGCCGTGGGAACGTTCCCACCGAGGGAGGGGGCCTCTAGCAGAGCACTCCATGCAGGAGGCATCTGCAGACATAACTCCTCTCAAGATGCTATCAGTGTCTCCAACAGCCAAAGGCCACTGTACCCTCAGCTGGTCCCAATCAGATTCCACAAAACTTATTTGCAGCATAAGCAATAAAGTGTGTGTGCACATGCGTGTGTGTGTGTGTGTGTGTGTGTGTGTGTGTGTGTGTGTGTGTGTGTGAACAGCAAGGCAGCATCAGACATCTCACTGTGTGGGCTGAAATCCAAACTTATATTAATTTGAGCTCAAAATATTCCCATGGAAAAGATGCATACTGAACAAAAAAAAAGGTGATCATGCTTTGGAACTTCTTCAAGGAGATTGTTCTCAATTTCATGCTGTTCAGGGAAACTTTACCACAAGCTGACAAAGCAGCAAATGAAGCCAAATTCATTGGTTCACTCAGCCAATACTTGCAGGATGCCTAGTATGTGTGACATACTATGTGAGAGGTAGCTCCAGACCATGCCCTTTCACTGACCACTATACACTAGCACCCAGAACAGAACCTGGGATATAGGTGGTGTTCCTATGTTGGTTGGATTGACACATGCACAGGAATTTGACCATGAATGCTTTGAAAGCTTCATAAAATTCTTTGGACACAAAACAAAACATAATATATTCACTCATTCACCCAATCTGATGAGTGGGGATATAAAGAGAAATAAGATGTGCCTCAGCCACTGGGAAGCTTACATTCTGGCAGAGAATCAGCAAAGGCCAAAGCATAGTGGTGCAGAAGGCCTGGCATAATTAAGAAACTACAAGTATTTTTTTATGATGGGAACAAGTGTCAGGATAACAGGAGATGAAGCTGAAGAGATAGGAAAGTTTGGGATAGGATTTAAGGGTGTTTTTTTTTTAATCCTGACAGTGACGGGGATGTACAGGTGGCAAAGATGAAATTTAGGCAAAGGCGTAATAGGATTAAATTTGTGATTTGGGATGCTCACTCTGGCTAGAGTGGAGAAGAGACTGGAGGAAATCAAGGATAGTTAGGGAGCTAATGCAGGTGTCCAGGCTTTGATTTGGGCAATAATTGTGAGGAAGGAGGACAGGAGAAGATAATTCCATGAGCCATGCATGTGTTATCAGAAAGTGGAGTTCTTGGGGTGCTGCGAGAAAATAATTTCCTGAGGCCCCCACGAGAGGATGGGGTTTCATGGAAAGCTTTATTTATGATGTAAAATTGAGGATATTCCCCTCAAGGTTTCATCTCTGTTCATCTCACCATGGAAGAAGTCCAATCTTAGCTTCAGCAGGACTAGAATTATGGCCACTGCCCAGAGTTTCTGTTCCATATTAAAGCACAGTTCAGTTCAATATTTGGCTAGCTTAGTTCATTGCTGTGGAGGGAGAACAGGCAAGCCCACCGGAAAGTCACAGAGAAAGAGAGAGGGAACTCTGTCTGGGGATTTCAACTGGACCTTCTTCAAACCAGCCAATTAACAATCCAAGATTTCGCACACTACTAATGGGTCCGCCTCTCAGCCAATCCATTGTTTCCAAGCTAGACTGACAGGCAAGCACCACCCCTGTGCCACCCCAACTTCTACTGCACAAGTGCCTGTCTCCCCCAATAATCCAGTACTGGAGGGTGGAAGGAGGGGTGTTATTCTCCTTGGAGGATCAATACTGCAATTAACTGGGCCGTGAAGCTGTCGCTTGCTTGTGAAACAAACAGGCTTATGCTTCCTTATGTGAATATGTTCAACAATGTCTGACTCTCCCTATGCTCTCTTCCTTTATTAACATTAACTACTAATTATGACAATAACAGAAGTAGAATGGGCAGGGCCTTGTGATGGACTGGATAGAGAGAATATGTCAGTTTCCAGTCTAACCTAAAAGATACACTGCAGGGACTCTGGCCTACAGGAGGTACAAGTATCGATACTTGATGGCTGGATAGATAAAAAAGGAGGAGGCTCTGGTATCTAGCCTGTGTATTTGCTATTATTCAAGGTAGAGAACCTTCACACAGATGCTCAGATTCTCTGCCATTTGGTCCCATCCTAGATTTTGCATTAAACTACCATCAGCCTCATATCATTTCTCAATTCTGGATCTTAATTCATACTATTCCCTCTGCCTTATAATGCCCTCTCCTGTCTTCATCTCTTTCAGTCAAAACCATTTCAAATGTCACCTCTTCAAAAAAAGTATTAGATTCCTTCAACCTCAGATACTTTTAAAATTGAATTTCTTTGTTTTTGCCTTCAGTCTATTGCTTCAGTTTGTGAGTGAGTGCCTTGAGAGGGACAACTTTCCTTCATTCATCTTCCTATCTCCTCCAGCCTGGAACCTCACCTGTGGTAGGATTCAATACATCTTTGTTGGATTGAAACAAAGAGCCAAAAAGATGTCTATCTATGAAGTGGGTATTATTGCCACCTACTTCATAGGGTGGTTATGAAAGTGAGGCACATAAGTGCTCAAAAAATGATATCATCTACACCATCATTTCTAAAAAGAGTAAGTTTCACTTATTTTTGGTCTAACTTAATGGTAAGCCTCTGTCTCCTATTAATAAAGTTGGAGGATAAGTACATTACTTTAGAAACTCCTGGGAAACTGCCCACTGGAGTCGGTAAGCTGGGAGCTGCCATCCTGGCCCACTGGGCATTCCTTTACGATGCCCAGTTTCCTCTCTGGAGGCTTCTCTTGAATACTTTGGGTCTTTTCTTTCTGGTCATGGGGGAACAGTGCTCAGCTTTTGATCTCTGTGATTCTGGGAAATGGGTGATTGGGAAGAATCCCATCCAGCAGTTACCTCTTCTCACCTCAATCCCTGCAGGCTGACTGCTGGAGAGGCCTAGAGCAGAGCCCCCAGCTGGGAGTTGACAAAGGGGAGGGGGCACCTTGGCCTGGCTGTTCCAAAAGCAGTGAGCAGGCAATTGTGACAGTCCTTGAGTTTATTTTTATTTTTTAAAATCTACTTTGAAGGATGTTGTGAGTCCCAAAGGAGCACTTTTATGTATTTTTTTCTTTTTTCTTTAGAAGTTCCTCTAAAACCCATTAGGGAGATTTAACATATTCCAGATTTAGCACTTTAATGAGTTTTTGTTCCTGCCATAATTTTTTCCCATTTTAACTTCTCCTCTGATTTTTAATTAGCTATTTCTGGGATTATGAAGTTTGCAAATTCAACAGCAAAATTTCTGGAAGGACTTTTAATTGATGTGTGAGTTTATTGTGATGATATTGTGGACCCTGCCTAAAACAGAAGGTATGGGAAGACCTGTCCCAGGCACGGATTTTCACGCCAGCAGATTGCATTTGCCATGATGAACATTTAAGGGAACTAGACATCTTTTATAAAATCACAAAGACCCACCTGACTGGCATGGTTCAGTGGTTGAGCATCAGAACCTGGAACCAAGAGGTGGTGGGTTCGATTCCTGGTCAGGGCACATGCCTGGGTTGCAGGCTCAATGTCCAGTGGAGGTACATGCAAGAAGCAGCGGACTGATGATGTTTCTCTCTCATTGATGTTTCTATCTCTGTCCCCCTTTCCCTTCCTCATTCTCTAAAAAATCAATAAAAACATATATTTAATAAATAAATAAATAAAATCACAAAGACCCTGCATTTGGGAGTCACTGTTTAACCACCTTGATGTTTTTGTTTTTTCAGGAACCTCAGAAAAGTCAAATCTGGAGCTAATCACTCTGACGTGCACCTGTGTGGCTGCGACCCTCTTCTGGCTACTGTTAACTCTCTTTATCCGAAAACTGAAAAGAGTAAGAACATTTCAGCTAAGTCCTGTGCTCCTTTTTGCATAATATTTAAAATGCTCACCTGATGTATGGGACAGGCACTAAACAAATGTTAGACCCTATCCTTCCCCTGACCGCTGACTCCTACCTCTGTCTTGGTAAGCACTGGAAAATGAGTCATTAAAATGTCTCTCAGCCATGAAGTGGGATATTCAAAAGAAAAGCTAGAGAATAGACAGATGCATATTTTCCAGGGACAAAAAGTATACTTTTGTATAAAAATATGCAATAAGTCTTCAAATTTAATTTAGCATAAGACCTATGAAGTCTTAGTCTTCTTAACCTTATTCTCTGCTAAGAAACAAACAAACAAAAAAAAAGAGTAAGTCCCACCTCTGACTATCTCTCACAATACAGAAGCACAAAGACGTGCGCTGCTGTTCCAGACTCGCTGAGCCCATGATCAAACTCAGTTCTTTAGAGTGTGGGGTTCAGGCTGGAATTCAGGACATCAGATTTCTGTATTCTGCCTACAGCACGACTTGCTTCTCTGAAATTCAGTGGGAAAGAGCCAACATTCATTCATCCACTTATGCCTCAAATATTTACTGTGTGTCTTCTCTATGCAGAGTGCTAGGCCAGTGGTAAGCAAATACTACAGTCTGGGACTTTAATCTGGTACACAGACAATGCAAAGTGTAACAACAGTGAGCTGAGTAAAAGATGCATAAGAGGGAGGTCAGGCAAAGAAGCAGGGAAAGTGTTGCAGGCAGAGAGGAGTGCACATGAGGCTAGAGAGGGACACCATGAGAATGAATGGCTGACAGAAGGCCAAAGGTCACAGTGGTGGAAAAAAGGCATGAAGTGTGGAAAAGAGAAAGAAGAGAGGAGAGGAGAAAAGAGGAGGGGAGGGGAGGGAGGAAGAGGGGAGAAGAAGGGAGGGCAGGGGAAGGGAGGGCAGGGGAGGGGAGGGCTCTGTAGCAATTAGCTGTGCAAGAGAGGGGAGGAGAGGGGAGAGGAGAGGGGAGAGGAAGGGAGAGGAGAGGGGAGTGGAGGGGAGGGGAGGGGAAGGGAGGGGAGGGGAGGGGAGGGGAGGGGAGACTGCAATGCCTGAGCAGGCAGGCTTGAGGCTATAGGAGGGATTTTAGTCCATATTCTAAAAGGAGTAAGAAGCCTTGGAGCAGGGAGGAGGGTTGTGAAGCAAAGATAGGCAATTATAAGTGTGAGAAATTTGTGTCTGCAAAGATTATTTTGGCTGCTGTGAGGAGAATGGACCAGGGGGTCACCTAGTAAAAGAGTTGACAGTAGTCCAAGGAAGAAATGATGTTAGCTTAGTCTAAATGATTAGAGTCAAGAAATATTTAGAAGGCAAAATCAAAAAAACTAGAAATGTGTCAAACTGGCCTACTCAATGTCTAGATATTTATTAACCCTTATTAATGTACAGGCTTATGGGAAGCTCTTTATGCAGTATCTGTTAATCCTTCCAAAAATGCAAAGGTAAATGTATAATTATTACCGTTTTATAGGGAGGGAAACTGATGTTCAGGAATTAAAATAACTTGTCCAAAGTCACAATGCTGATTTAGAGTTGGAGCTGAGTTTTGAAGCCAGGTTGTTTGGCCTTAGGCTGGCTATTCAAAACTAATATGTACTTTATAGCGTTAGCAAGAGAGGCAAGGCTAGCAGCATCCTCTACAGTGAATGTGTAACATCAGGCTTTTGCTATATGGAGTGACTAGTTTTGAGACAGGACAATTCCTGAGAAGGAACAGGTCAAATAATAGTATTTGAAGGGGGAGACACATCATATAGCAAAAGAGATTTAGCAAAGGAAAACTTGCCAAAATCTGTGAGGTAGTACAAAGACTATAGGATTTCAAAGGAGGAGAGCAGGAGAAAACACTTCATAGAAAGAAAAGTTTAGAGACAGACTTTGAAGGTCATAGCTGGAAGGAAAAAAGCAGAAAATATAGCCCCCCTTTACCCCTCCCCCACACACATACATTACTCTGCAGATTAGAGAGGGAGTCCAGTTACTTTGCTTATAGTAGCAGAGTGGAAACAACACTGAAAAGGCAAATTGGGACTGAATTGAGTGGGTCTCTTGTATTTTTTTTAAATCTATAAAATTTTTTTTTAAATCTATGAAATTTTAATGTCAATGAGAAATGATGAGCCCTAGCCAGTTTGCTCAGTGGGTAGAGTGTTGGCCTGTGGACTGAAGGGTCCTGGATTGGATTCCAGTCAAGGGCATATACCTCGGTTGCCAGCTCCCAGCCCTGAGATGCAACCAATCAATGTGTCTCTCTCACACATCTGTGTTTCTCTCTGTCTGTATCTCTTCCTTCCACTCTCTCTAAAAATCAATGGAAAAAATATCCTCGGGTAAGGATTTAAAAAAACAAGAAGAGGAAAGGATGAGAACAAGTAATAGAATGCATATAAAATCTGACAAGTGATTGGTTGTGGGAGGCAAAGAGGAAAAAGGCATTACAAACCATTTTCATGTGGTTTCTCTAATCACAATGTAAATTCCTCACCGATAAAGACTACTTTATCTTTTTATCTCTACTCTGCATAAGCCAGTGTTATAATTACAGCCAACATTTATTGATGCTTACTGTGTACCAGGCTCTATTTTAACAGCTTTGCATGAATTATATCACTTGATATTTACAACAGCCCTATGAGTAAAGCACCATCATTTGACAGATAAGTTAACTATGCTTTAAAAGGTGAGGCAGCTTGCCCATAGTTACGTGCTGGTCAGGAGTTGAGTTGTGATTCAAATCCAAACATGAGGGTCAGTGTCTGGGCCCTGTAGCAATTAGCTGTGCAATTTTCATGCCAAGCACCTATTATTGCTTAGTGTTAATGTCAGTTGAAAGAGCAAATATTTGTCAACTGAGAGTCTACTGTCACACTCCCCTCAAAGCCCTTGCTTAAAGGTTTTTGTTTTGTTTTGTTTTGAGCATTTTTGGTGTTTCCTCTCATCTGCCTTATTGAGATAAACCATAAAACTCCGGGGGCGATGTGGGGAGATTGTCTTCCGTTGCCTGCTCCCCGGCTTCCATCACAGCACTGCCAACCTCCCCTTGCATCCTGACAAACCCAAGGCATTCCCTGCCACATTCAGCAATCCGGTGCTCTCTGAAGGCTAGGGATTGGTTCCCATAGCCGTGGCTATGTTGGACATTGGAAAGTTTAGTCATAAAACCAACTTCTGCTGCTTCTCTAATGAGAAGCATTCCTGTTATAGGAATTTGTACTCCCCTACAGTCTTACAGACTCCCACCACTGTCTGACAGGCTGGGCCCTTCCAGTCTAATACCGGTGGCAAATGCAGTTCATGACAAACGTGCTCCCTATCTTGCTCTGTTATCCATTCTTTAAGGAGGCCAGGGAAATCTTTCTGCCTTGAACTATTTATCCACATTTTAGTGATACTTTTTGTGAGAAAGAGACTGATTGCAAGTGATGGATGAGGTGAGCTGTGACAGCCCAGAACAGGATGAGTAAAAGCTGAAGAATGTGGGTGACTGTGACATGGTGTGTATGGAGAGGTTGTCCTCTCTACTGAATTCTGATCTGTTTGAGGGAAAGCACTGAAGGGAAAGGCCCTAACACTCATTTAAATGAAATTTACATAACTCTGGAGTTATCAAAACCCACCTTATATTGGTAAGCATACTTCCTTTCTGTCCTGCCCACAGAAATACAATCAATTCTGCAATTAACTAACAGGAAATATACCCATGGATATGAATTTAGACACTAAATGTAAATCCAGTTATTTATGATCTGAAAAAAGAGTATTTTTCTGGGCTTGATTTGCATTATCAAGATTAAAAAAAAATGCACCTGCAGGCAGATGTCCACCTTACTTACTTGATATACAACTTAATTTATTTGGTGTTTTACCAATGGTCAAAGGAACTTGGAATGAATGTTGCTATGTGTAAGTCTTACTCATTGGTATTTGAAATAATCAACTTCTGTTTCTTACTGAAGGTAAATTCTATTCTAATCTCACTCATGGACCCTGTGGTCATTTTCAGGCAGCTAAGTGGTCAGGCCTTCTGAGTATATTTAAGTACTTCATATGAAATGTACCTCTAAGCTGTCCCAGGGAGGTAGACCCTGAGCTTACTTTACCATCTCTATCCTTTCTTGCACATGCAGAAAACCACAATCATGGACCCCCAAATATTTGTAATGCATATTTCTGCTTACACAGAATGACCATGGAAAGTTATTATTAGTCCTTGTGTGGAATGATTTTATTAAAATGCTTTGCAGAACAAGCAAATAAGGTTGCTGGAGAATCTGAGGACCTTTCATCTGTGACTAGAGGTCCTATGCACAGATTAGTGCGCCAGTGAAGTCTCTTGGCCCAGCCTGTGGAGATTGGGCCAAAACTTGCTCTCCGACATCCCCCAAGGGGTCCCGGATTGCAAGAGGGTGCACAGGCCAGGCCAAGGGACCCCACCAATGCATAATCGGGACTCAGAAGGAATCATGGGAGAGCTCTAGGCCGTGTCCAGCCCATCTCACCAGTCCTGATTGGCTGGACCCCAGCAGCAAGCTAACCTACCCGTCTGAGCATCTGCCCCCTGTTGGTCAGTGCACATCATAGCGACTGGTCGAACAGTAATACAGTCGGACATTTAGCATATGAAGCTTTTATTATATAAGATAATACTACAGAAATGCAAGGCAGGAACAACAAGGGTTGTTTGATAGAAATCACATGCTCAGGTGTGATATGCATATGTGTGTGCTACTTTCTGTACCTGATCATATGTTTTAACCAAATGAACCAAAATAGCAGGAGATTTTGCCTAGTATTGTTTTAAATTGGCAACCAGAGATTTTTTGTCATTGATGACTTTGGGATCTCTTTATTTCTCAGTCTTCTTCTGAAATAAAACCTGACTACCTATCAATTATAATGGACCCAGATGAAGTTCCCCTGGATGAGCAGTGTGAGCGGCTCCCGTATGATGCCAGCAAGTGGGAATTTGCCCGGGAGAGACTTAAGCTAGGTAATGTATTTGTTCAACAGATTCCTAAGCCATACTAAGCACCTACTGCATTGAGGAATGCAAAAATAGGCTAGACTCTGGATTCTACCCTCAACAGTTCACAACCTAGCAAGGGAGAGGGACACAGAGGTATATGAGTCTATGAGTACGTGGAGAGGGTGGTTTAAGGGACGAGGAGCACCTGTTCTTTCTTTCAACAGTTACCAAGCACCTTCTCTATGCAGCAAACACAAAAATATTTGAGTCTCTTCCTTCTAAGGAGAGCGCCATAAAAGTAGATAAGTAAAGGAAAGATTAGTTCCATTGGGGGCCTTACAGGCACAGGTGCTATTAATTAATGACATTTTAGAGAAGTCAGAAACTTCTGACATGGGAAGAAATTCAAGATGACTAGGCACTGTAAAATCAAACATTTGGTGAAAGAGTTGGTGCTCTTCAAGGTTGTGGATCAAAAACCACTCTGCACAAAACCATCAGTTACATCCTTTAAATTTTCCTGGGTGTTCAAAAGGTCCAAACAGAGAAGAAAGTCTTAAGGAGTCACTTAAGTTTCACTTTTGAAAAGTGAGGACTATTGCTTTCCAGGTAACACAGATACTGTAAACAACAGGCAAATGTGTTTTCCTTCAGCTTACTTCCAGGTTCCTCCAGCTTAGACATCACAGTGCAAATTACTCTCCAGCCCAGTTATTACAAAGAGTGGGAACCTCAATTACTCCCACCCAAAATATTTGGCTTGTGGGTCCTGAAAGTTTCCTACTCATTCTGATGTATGCCAGAATAGCTGGAACTAGGAAAAGAGGCCATGCATCCAGTGTGCCCAGAGCTTCTCACTAGGTATAAAGAGCCTGTTGTTCCAAATTCAATGGCACTGCCTATTCTTCCCCCTACATGCAAGTCATTGTCATACAATGAAAAGATATTGGGTCCTAGCTAGTTTGGCTCAGTGGATAGAGCTTCGGCCTGTGAAGTAAAGGTCCTGGGTTTGATTCTGAGTATATGCCAGGATTGCAGGTTTGATTCCCAGTAATGGGTGTGCAGGAGGCAGCCGATAAATGATTCTCTCTTATCATTGATGTTTATATCTCTCTCCCCTCCCCCTTCATCTCTGAAATCAATAAAACTATATTTTTTAAAAATATTGGCATTTTTGGAGGGGGAGGTGTGAGGTGACAGAAAGAGGAAAATGGCTTTTCTCATTCTCTTAGGCCTTGAAATGATCCCACTTACATTTCTTCCTACATGAGAAAAAGTACTTAGCTCCAAGAGTATGTTCTGTTTGGCTTAGGGAAGAAAATTAGGAATCAGACAAAAGCCAGTAATGGCTACTGACAAGAAAAAAAAATCAACCAAATTTTGAGTAGATAAGGGCAGGTGACACACTAGGTGAGTTCCATCTGCAAGTCCAAATTATATGGCAGCCTGCCCAGCCCCTTCAGCGACCTTATCATGGAATATGGGATAATTTTCCCACAACCATAAGCCATTCTCAGGCCATATTGATTTCCAGAGTTATTAGTCGCAATCAAATATGCTCCTTCCAATGCAGGACATGTGAGCTTTCCATCCCTTTTCTTCATTCCTCGGCCTAGTGTCACTGTGACCATAACACATTGAGAGGGAATGCCAGTTCTTCTATCAGATTTCCTCAAGGCTCCATGAGTGTAGATAATTCCATTTCAGGAGATTCTTTTTGTTGAAGATCTTATGGTTCTTTTCCTTCCAGATGCTATGATTTGGATAATATACAGGTGAGTATCTTCGAAGGGTAAGAGGAAGTGTAGCAAAGTCTCAATGCAGAGTGTAGCTCCGAGGGCCAGAGTAATGCTCTTTCTATTAACTAGGGAACAAATAGGCCCAATATTTAATTATATGTTTGTTTGTTTGTTTGTTTGTTTGTTTTAAGCCAAATAAATGAGAAAAAGAAATCAGAAGCAGTGTCTGTTAAGTGAAAATAACCAAAACTATATCTGGATAGATGGGAAGAAAAGGCAGGTTTGATGGGCAGAATTACAACAGAGTTCTGAATGTAGAGAAAAGCATAGATCAAGCTGCTTCTGATCTCATCTATCTGCAGTCTGTGAGTTACTTTCAGCCTTGGAGAGAGAAGTCAGAATTGAGAGTACCTGATGGATACCAATAGACACATTTAGAAACAGTCAAAGGTTTTGCTACCAGTGAAATTCCTGAAATCCAGTAACTAGAGAAATCTATTTTGTTAGTGATTCTACATTAAATCCAGAGATAATTCCCCTCCTATACATTTATAAATGTCTGACATTGCACCTTTCTGTTGGAAAATTGTCAGAATTAGCGAATATGGGAAACAACACAGGGAGTCTGAAAATTGGCAGGTGAATGGGACCTGGGCTGGTGCTGCCTCTTATAAGACCAGCCCTGGATGCTAGAGAGGAGCTCAGCCCCATGCTGCCATACACTGTCCCCAGAGTGTCCCAGGGGTCCTGGCCAGTCATTCTTGGAAGAAATTCCAATATCCATTCATTGTATGACTATGACTTAGCAATTTACAAGCTAGTGAATGCATTTGGGTAGCACCAAGAAAGACTTTAAGAGAAAAGGAAGATCAGGCCAGGTCAAGTCCAGTGTGACTGGGCTCCGCCCATGCTGAAATATGAGTCTGCAGAATGATCCAGTGCAGCAGATGATTAAAGAGCCCATAACAGCCCAGCCAGAGTGGTGCAGTGTTTGAGCATCAACCTGTGAACCAGGAAGTCATGGTTCTATTTCCTATCAGGGCACATTGCCTGAGTTGAGAACTTGGTCTACAGTAGGGGGTATGCAGGAGGCAGCCAATCAATGATTCACTCTCATCATTGATATTTCTCTTTCTCCCTCTCTCTCTCTCTCTCTCTACCTCTCCCTTCCTCTCTTATATCAATAATCCTATCTAATAAGGAGGTAATATGAAAATTGACCATCACTCCAACACATAAGATGGACACCCCCATGTAGGTACAAGATGGCCTCCACAAGATGGCCAGCAGGGGAGGGCAGTTGGGAGGGACCAGGCCTGAAAAGGAGAGCAGTTGATGGTAATCAGGCCTTCAGGGGAGGGCAGTTAGGGGTGACCAGGTTGGCAAGGGAGGGAAGTTAGGGGTGACTGGGCTAGTAGGGGAGAGCAGTTGGGGCAACCAGGCTGGCAAGGGAGAGCAGTTAGAGGTGACTAAGCTGGCAGGGGAAGGCAGTTGGGGGCAACCAGGCTGGCAGGGGAGGGTAGTTAGGGGCAATCAGGCCAGCAGGGGAATAGTTAGGCACTGATTAGGCTGGCAGGGGAGTGTTTAGGGAGTGATCAGGCTGGCAGGCAGAAGTGATTAGAGGCAATCAGGCAGGCAGGCAGCTGAGCAGTTGGGAGAGGGATTGTAAGAGAGATGTCCCAGATTGGAGAGAGTGCAGGCTGGGCTGAGGTACACACACACACCCATGTACGAATTTCATGCGTTGGGCATCTAGTATATGTATAAAGAGCCTATAACAGCTTCATGCTGCTTTGTGAGGCAACAATCAGCTTCCAAAAGAACAAAGGAAAAGACTGAGGAAAGCCAAGTGAGAACAAGTTGATTCTCAGTAATAGAAGCAAAGTCCCCAAACACTGGTTAAAACAAAGAATGTTGTGATGCCTAAGAAGAGAATGTATGGTGACTGAAATGTGGGGAAAAAAGGATTCCATCTGACCCAAACAAGCAAGAGTCTTTGCAGCCTGTGGAGAGGTGTCCAAAGACAGAGATTATCTTACCACTTTTCAGGCTCAGAACACTTTTCATATTAGATGGTGGAAGGAACTTCAAAAGGGAAGCATTGTTCTTGTACCCGAAAAATGCAAGGAATAAGCCTGCAACCAAAGGCAGCAATTTTCACGAGTCTGGAGAAGATATCTGCCAGTGCTCTTTCAATATTTGATCTCCATCCTGCACCTTGAAGAGCTATTCAAGGCTCTTCTATTTAAGCTAACAGTACCTTGCTGGTCTAGATCTTGGACAATTTTATCTGAAAAAGGAAGCACTGACTACATCCCAGCCCATGGTGTGTGCCCTAGGAGGAACAAATGATATTTATCAGTCACTAAAGGTACATGTGTGACCATAGGAAAGGCTTGTGATATCACCAGTGTTCCCCTCCTAATGCAGAGTGTGTTCCTATGAAATAGATGCAGAGACTGCTACAGAAAAGCTCATAAAATTATGTTGGTAAATTGAACACTTCCCAGGTTCTTATTGTATGTCTAGGATGGTTGGTAATGGAAGATACTAAGCAACGGCAGAATGAAGACACCTTTGTTACTGAGTAGTTGTGCATAAAAAGTATAAAGGTTCTGGAAAAAAAAAACAAACAAGATGGCAGCATAGGGCAGACACCCGAATGCAGCATACCACAAGTTTGAGTTTGGAACTGAAAAACAGGGGAAACATCACCCTGAGGCACAGGACAGCTGGCTGAGGGGAGGCTCTACCATCTGGGAAGGAGAGAGAAGGCACGCTGAATCTCAGGAACTGTGAAGGTGCTGAGAACTGCACGTGCAAAAAGGCGGCCGCAGAGTTCGCTGCTGGCTTGCTTGCGGAGGGTGGAGAGGGCATGCTGAGTTCCCTACTGGCTTACTCCCTGCGTGCGGAGAGGATGGACAGCTAATGTGTGGCTGGCTTTCTTGTTCGGGAGGAAAACAGAACCACCCTATTGCACTGATAGACAGTCCCAGAAAGGGAGAGGCCAGACTGTCAGGCCGTGGGCAGAGATCTCTCAGAGGTGTGTGAAGCCAGTGGCCATTGCTGCAGGACTCAGAAACCAGACCTCGTAGGGAGGGGCTGAATTAAGCTTGTCTGCACCACCCGAGACTACGCCCCATCCAAGCAGAGCACAGAGGCCCTTCCAGTGGCTAGCTTCCTCATTCGCTGCCAATAGGACTCTCCTAGGGAGGGGCAGACAGGAATCTAAAGCTTATCTGCGCCTATACCATAGCCGTGTGCACATCTGCAACCAATTGTGTGGGATTCAACAAAGCTTGTTTGCACCACCTGAGACTCCGCCCCATCCAAGGGGAGCACAGAAGCCCTTCCAGTGGCTAGCTTTCTCATTTGTAGTGAATGGGACTCTCCTAGGGAGTGACAGACAGGAATCTAAAGCTTGTCTGCAACCAATTGTGTGGGATTCAACAAAGCTTGGCTGTGCCATCCCGAGACTCTGCCTCATTCAAGCAGCATACAGAAACCCTCCTAGCTGAGACACTTCTGATCCTCATAGCCAATTGGCTTAGAGATCAACGCTTCCCAGTGATACCAACAACAAGCAAGGCTTAACAACAAGACTGCACACACAGCCCACAAAGGTCTACACCAAGACTGTCCACCTGAGGTAACTGGGAGGCTGAGTCACTGAACCATATAGGATACCTTAGCATACAAAACCACCCTACCAACTCAGGGAAGCTGTGAAAATGCCGAGGAAATAGGATCACAAACAAAAGAAATGGAGGAAAAGAAGAGACTGGATATAGAGTTCAAAACCACACTTATAAGGTTTTTCAAGAATTTCCTAGAAAAGGTTGATAAGACCTATGAGGAGATGAAAAGGAATCATCTAGAATTAATAAGGAATCAACAAGAAATAATAGGGATCAACAAGAAATAATAAGAGAGAGAATCCAAGATGACTGCGCCCAGGTAAACACCTAGCCGCAGCCGCACACAACAATTTCAATAAAATACAACTAAAATATAAAATGGACATTACCCAGAACTACAGGAAAGTCGACTGACTGGAAATTCTACAACAAGAAGCAAGGAGAAAACCAGAAGAAAGCGCGGAGGAGCAGTAAAAGCCAAAGGTATGGAGACACGCGGTGCACGTGGAGAGGACAGAGCCGGAGAGGAGGGCGGCTGAGTGCCTGGCTGGCGTTCCCAAGTGGGAAGGAGATAAAACTCCGACTGTGTTGGGTCCCCTGTTCCGACTGCTCTGAACCCCAGTTCTAGGCCAGACCCTGGGGACCCAGACTCATCCAGAGGGAGTTGGGCTGCAAGGCGGAACCCCAGGGGAGCGGTGAAAGGGGGTCCCAGCTGCACGCACATTGCGCGCAGAGAAGGGACGGTTGGCTGTGCCACAGAATTGCCTTGGCGGGAAGGAGACAGGGGCTCCAGACTGCTCTGAACGCCACCTCCAACTCCACTTCCAACTGAACTGAACCCCAATACCGGGCTCATTGGGGGAGAGCATAGACTGTTTGGCAGCAGACGAAAATCGAGGGCACCTTTCTCTCAGAGGCGCTTGCAACAAGTACTGAAGGACCCTGAGACCCAGGAGCCGCATAGGGCGGGGCTGACGGAAGCCAAGGCTGTAGGCTCCACACCGAAACCCCGCCCCATTTGTAGCTGTGAAATGCGACAACGAAATAGATCACAAACAAACGAAATGGAGGACAAAAAGCAACTGGATATAGAGTTCAAATCTACGCTTATAAGGTTTTTCAAGAATTTCCTAGAAAAGATGGATAAGACCTATGAGGACATAAAAAGGGATCAACTAGAATTAATAAGGAATCAACAAGAAATGATAAGGGAACAATAAGAAATGATAAGGGATCAACAAGAAATAAAGAATACATTGTCTGAAATAAAAAATATTATATACAGTCCTAAAAACAGAATGGAAGATCACAAGAATCAAGTCAAAGATTTGGAACATAAAGAGCCAGAAGACACTCCTCCACAGAAGCTAGAAGGCAAGAGAATCCAGAAAATTGAAGATAATGTAAGTAATCTCTGGGACAACTTCAAGCGAACCAACATCAGAATTATGGGGGTCCCAGAAGATGAGAGAGAGCAAGATATCGAAAACATACTGAAAGAAATAGTGACAGAAAACTTCCCCCACCTGGTGAAAGAATTAGACTTACAAGTCCAGGAAGCGCACAGAACTCCAAACAAAAGGAATCCAAAGAGGACCACACCAAGACACATCATAATTAAAATTCCAAGAGCAAAAGACAAAGAGAGAATATTAAAAGCAGCAAGAGAAAAGCAGGTAGTTACCTATAAAGGAGCACCTATACGATTGTCAGCTGACTTCTCAACAGAAACCATGCAGGCCAGACGGGAATGGCAAGAAATATTCAAGGTGATGAATAGTAAAAACCTACAGCCAAAGATAATCTACCCAGCAAAGCTATCACTCAGAATCGAAGGTCAGATAAAGAGCTTCACTAATAAAAAAAAGCTAAAGGAGTTCATCAACACCAAACCAGAATTATATGAATTGCTGAAGGGGGTTCTTTCAGAAGAGAAAGTAAATAAAGATAAAAATTATGAACAACAAATACGTAACTATCAACAAGTGAATCTAAAAACCAAGGAAATTAAAAAAAAAAAACTGATGAACAATATTAACTGTTGAATATAATAGAATCAGAGGTATGGAAAGGGAGTGAACTGACGATTCTTGGGGAAAAGGGGAGAAGGGGGATGTGAGAAGAGACTGAACATAAACTGTGCACCTATGGATAAGGACAATGGGGAGTGGGGAAAGGGCAGAGGGTGGGGTGGGAACCTGGTGGACGAGAGCAATGGTGGGTGGGAGGGAAGGAACATTTGTAATAATATGAACAATAAAAACTTATTTTAAAAAAATGAATAATAAGGGATCAACAAGAAATAAAGAATACATTGTCTGAAATAAAAAATATTATACACAGTCCTAAAAACAGAATGGAAGATTGCAAGAATCAAGTCAAAGATTTGGAACATAAAGAGCCAGAAGACACTCTCCACAGAAGCTAGAAGACAAGAGAATCCAGAAAGTTGAAGATAATGTAAGAAACCTCTGGGACAACTTCAAGCGAACCAACATCAGAATTATGGGGGTCCCAGAAGATGAGAGAGAGCAAGATATTGAAAACATACTGAAAGAAATAGTGACAGAAAACTTCCCCCACCTGGTGAAAGAATTAGACTTACAAGTCCAGGAAGCACACAAAACCCCAAACAAAAGGATTCCAAAGAAGACCATACCAAGACAAATCATAATTAAAATTCCAAGAGCAAAAGACAAAGATAGAATATTCAAAGCAGCAAGAGCAAAGCAGGTAGTTACCTATAAAGGAGCACCTATATGATTGTCAGCTGATTTCTCAACAGAAACCATGCAGGCCAGACGGGAATGGCAAGAAATATTCAAGGTGATGAATAGTAAGAACCTACAGCCAAAAATAATCTACCCAGCAAAGCTATCACTCAGAATCGTAGGCCAGATAAAGAACTTCACAAACTAAAAAAAAAAGCTAAAGGAGTTCATCACCACCAAACCAGAATGATGTGAATTGCTAAAGGGGGTTCTTTCGGAAGAGAAAATAAATAAAGATAAAAATTATGAACAACAAATACGTAACTATCAACAAGTGAATCTAAAAACCAAGGGAATTAAAAAAATCTGATGAACAATATTAACTGGTGAATATAATAGAATCAGAGGTATCAAAGGGGAGTGAACTGATGATTCTCAGGGAAAAGGGGAGAGGGAGGTGTGGAAAGAGACAACATAAACTGTGCACCTATGGATGAGGACAATGGGGGGTGGGGAAAGGGCAGAGGGTGGGGTGGGAACCTGGTGGAGGGGAGCAATGGAGGGGGGGGGAATGAGGAACATTTGTAATAATATGAACAATAAAGATTTTTTTTTTTTAAGTATAAAGGTTCTAATATGGTGAAGCAGGAAATGTCCCTTACTTTGACTCTTTTGGTGTCAGTTCCTTGCAGATCCTGTTCAAAGTTACATGTGCCTCACGGCTACAAATAGGAGAAATGAAAAAGACTTCAACTCGCCCCATTGGCTTGGTAAACAAATCAATGTATTCTTTTCATTGCAGGCAAATCACTTGGAAGAGGGGCTTTTGGAAAAGTCGTACAAGCATCTGCATTTGGCATTAAGAAATCAGCCACCTGCCAGACTGTGGCTGTAAAAATGCTAAAAGGTATGGACACTGTAGTTTGGCTTTCAACGGACCCACTGCACTTCCTAAATGTTGGTATAAGTTGGATGTAGCCTAGGAACAGATACAAGCTATTTTTGCTCTGGTCACATAACTTTATTCTACTGCTGGGAGCCCCTTGACTTTAGAACATTTAGGTGAGGCAAGGGAGAGTTCAGGATAAACATTGTAAATGGAACAATCAGCAGCATCCATGGGAAAGTGAGTCCTGTCACCTCAAAAATATTTCTCTTACCACATCTCAGACTTGACACTATCAGGGACTTAAGCCCATAGTAACCAATTTTTTTTTTTTTAATGATCCACTTGACATTATAATGGAAACTTTGCTGTACATCACAAATCCCAAAGGCTTAACTGGGACTTGACCTAACTATAAGATAAGATTCTGAAACTAAAACAAGTGAGATGATCAAAACTGTAAACTATTTAATATTGTCAAGTTCCAACCATAAAACTTCTCCTCTTTAGAAATGAAAAACAACAAATTATCTTTCAAGTGTGAAGTGTGAGGAGGTAGAGCCAAATCACACATAGATAGACTGAAAGTGAAAATTATGTGAACCAAACAAATCAAAACTCATAGATCTTTTGAAGTTTAGAAAATAATTCATTTCCTCAGTTATGATGGGATTTTCTGTTATTTCAATGCATCTTAAGGCCCCCAAACCAAAAGAAATAGGAATGAAAACCTAAATGGCAGCTTTCAGCTTTCCAAGGTCTCCAAGATAATGCCAGGGGATTCTGAGGCACAGAAAGCTATATGCCCAACTGAGCAGGTTCCTAGCCAAAGCTTAGGAGACAAAGGGCTGTTTGCTTAGGGAGACTTCAAAGTTCTTCCTCTTCTTGCAGCCCTGACACCATCATTGCCCAAGTATCATGTCATGATATTTTCCACCTAAAAAGGCTGTTCTTTTTAAAGGAAAACTTTGATAAAACTCTATAAAGAACTTGACAGTTCTACTCTGAAAGTAACCAGGAAAAGGAGTTTTGCATCCACAAGTAAGGACTTTTGTTCGAGTTGGACTATTCAGATGATGGAAAGCATTTCTGTGAGAATTCCTCCATTCCAGCACCCCACCCTGTACACCCCATCCCAGATTCTAAAGAGAAGATGCATCAACATGTCTTCTATGTGAGAAAGCATCAGACTAAGTACTTAATATATGAGGTAGAACCACTTGAAATCATCATTTTTCTCATTTTTCTCTCTATAGCCTTGTTTTTCTGTATTGTATTTTGGTGTGTTTTTTTGTGGGTTTTTAAATTTTTACTTATTAAATTGATTGTGGTGACATTGGTCAACATGAATATATAGGTTTCATGTGTGGGTTTCTATATAACAAGATCTGTATATTGCACCATGTGCCCACCACCCAAAGTCAAATCTTCTCTCACTTTATACTGGTATTAGTACCTCTTTCTCCCAGCCCCCTTCTCTCTGACAACTGCCACTCTGCTGTTTGTGTTCATAAGTTCAGGTTTATATCCCACATATGAGTGAAATCATATGGTTCTTGGATTTTTCTGTCTGACTTATTTCACTTAGCATGTTTCAAGGTCCATCCATGTTATTGCAAATGGTGCTATTTCATCCTTTCTTACGGCTGAGTAGTATTCTATTGTGTATATGTACATTTTCTTTATCCAGTCCTCTATCATGGGACATGAACATAGGGTGCATATATCTTTTCATGATTTTGAATGCTATGGATAAAAACCTACGATTAGGATTTCTGGGTCATATAGTAGCTCTATTTTTAATTTTTTGAGAAATTGCCAGACTGCTTTTCAAGGTGGTTGTACCAGTCATTCCCATCAGCACTGAATGAGGGTTCCCTTTTTTTCCACAACCTCTCCAACATTTGTTATTGCTTGTCTCGTTGATAATAACCACTCTAAAAGGTGTAAGATGGTATCTCATTGTAGTTTTGATTTATGTTTCCCTAATTGCCAGTGAGATTGAACATGTTTTTTTTTAGTCATTATTTCTTTATTTAACAAAGCTTCCCATGTACCTCAAGTAGAAAATTTTTCTTCATCAGCCATGTTAAGAATATAGTTAGCCATATCATCTTCAGTGGGCACAACTGACACCACCAAAAATTCACTTGCTCCAGTCATCTGCAGGTGACAAACAGGCAATTCTTGTGTTGATCACTTCATTTATCAATGTATATCTGACAAAAGCTGTGAGTACAAGGCAGGATGAGGTCAGCTCGACATCCATGCACATACAACACTCCTTCTCATCAGTCACCCTTTCCATCCAAAGAATAGCCTTGACAAGATGTCACAGACTACAAGTTTTCATCAGGGTCTCCAGAGCTGGAGCTCTGTGCCAACTCTTCGGTTGCTTGACTTGTGATATCTTTATAAATCTGAATAAACTGGTACAAATTCATTATCAGTGATGTTTCTACAATGCCATGGCATTTGTTAATCTTGGTACAGACCACCATTCAACCAATTATCAAAAGGCAGAGGAATCAGACCCAGGTTGAGAAGATGTTTTTCCTGGCCAGAAGCCACTTTGGCTGTTACATCATTAAGTTCAGCTACTCTCCCAAGAAAGTCTTCATAAGGAGCCACTTTCTCAAACCAATGTGACATGTTTTGCTACTTTTTTCTGGTAACTTGTTAAGAACCAACTGCATCTGATCCGAAATCTGTTGTCCCATGATGAAATGATGTCTTTTGAAATCCAGAAAGAGTGTTGGTTCACAGTTTCTAGGTTCAGGCATAGGGTTTCCAGGGCACAGGTGCCACCCCAGCCCATCACTCAGGCCCACAGACGACGGCAGTGGCCGTTTAGGGTAATTATTGATGTATGAGAATTTTCTATAGCCGTTTTATCTTTTGTTTTCTGGTAGCTCTGTGCCTCCATTGGTTCTTTTCCTTTATGCTTCTTTCTGTTGTTTTTGTTTGGTGGTGTTCCATACATTTTTCTGTTTCCTCTTTTTTTAAGCTTTCTACCAGTTTGGGAAATTTTTGTGTGTGGTTGCTATTAGGTTTATAAAAAATGAAGTTGCATATATACCACAGGTTTTTTTTTCCCCTTTTGAGTGCATTTGATCTTAATCTTCCTTTGCCAATTCAGACCTTTCCCCCTTCCCTTTACATATTTTTGTTGTCACAAAGTATCCTGTTTATGCGGTAAGTTTTTTGGTGATCTTACTCATAGTGTTGTGACCTTATGTTCTTTATTTCAGGTGGAATAACTCCCTTGAGTATTTTCTGCAATGCCTCAGCTGCTGTATATCTTGGAACATTCTTATTTCTCCTTCAGATTTAAAAGATAATTTTGCTGGATATATTATTTGTAGCTGATAATTTCTCTCTTTTACATGTTTGAATATTTGGTTCCATTCTTTTCTGGCTTGTAAAGGTACTGCTGAGAAGTTGGATGAAATTCTGATGAGTTTTCCTTTGTAGGTCATTTCCTTCTTTTCCCTGGCTGCTTTGAGAAATTTTTCTTTGTCATAATTTTTTTTTAGATTGTTAAAGCGCCTTTACTCACAAAGAGATGGGTGGGGTAGTTGCCACAATCTCAGTTTACAGGTGAATTCTGAGTGCCCAGTGACAAGGAGAGATTGATAGCAAAGCTGGATCTACTTACTAAGGCTCTCAAAGAGACGTGAGAACTCTGTGTAATCCTTGACTCCGGGCTGAATTCTGTACTGGAAAAATATTGGGGCCATTGATAAAGTAGAACCAGAATGATGGATTAAAGTATTGAACCAATGTTAAATTTACTGAAATTGATAACACTAATGTAATTGCATAAATGAATATTCTGAGGAAATGAACATTAAAGTATCCAAGCATGTAACTTACCCTCAAATGGTTCAGAAACAATGATACAGATGGATCCATCCCATATGATAAAATGAGTGGGTTAAAATAGTAATAATTGGTGAATCTGGTATGCAGGTGTTCTTTTGTCTTTGTCATTAATTTTTGACAGCTTTATCACCAAGTGCCTTGGAGATGGCCTCTTTGGATGATGTATCTAGATGTTCTGTTTGCTTCTTGGATTTGAGGATCTAGTTCTTTCAATAGATTTGAGAAGTTCTCATCTGCTATTTGTTTTAACAGAGTCTCCATTCCAAGTTCCCTCTCTTCCTTCTCCACAATACCTATGACTCTGATATTACTTTTTCTGATGGAGTCAGCAAGATCTTGTAGAGCTCTTTCATTTTCCTTTATTCTTAGGTCTCTCTCTCTTCTTCCTTCTGTGTCATTTCTTGATTCCTATCTTTGATATCTCTAGTTCTTTCCTGTAATTGGTTGGTTCTGTTTTCTATGCTCAAGAGCTCACTCTTAATCTCCTCAATTGCCTGCTTCATTTCCAGGAGTACTGATTTATTCATTTTTAAAGTTTCAATTTCCTTGGAGAAATGTTCATTTTGTTCAATGATTTGATTTCTGAATGTATTGAATTGCCTGTCAGAATTTTCTCACATCTCATTGAGTATTTTCAGAATTGAAGTCTTGAAATTTCTATCATTTATATCACATAATTCCATGTTTTCTAGCCTACTTCCTGGGGATCTTTCATTTCTTTCTGGTCATCATGTTATGTGGTTCTTCACGGTATTTGCTGCCCTCCTTTGTTTTCACATTTATTTCTGGGGAGGTCTTTTTCCTATGTTCCAGTGGTGATGCTGAATTGCAAGTTGTTTACCTCTGTGCTTTACCAGATTTGAGCCTCTGCAGCTTCCAGTACCCCAGATAGCTTGTGGGTGGGATTTGTTTTGCCCTCCCCATAATGGTGACCCCTGACCTCCACAAATCTGGCCCAAACACCCCTCCTGGAGTTCAGTCACAGGGAGAAACAGCAAACAGTGCTTGGTTTACAGATAATATGTTCCTAAAGCCAACTCCATGGGCAACAGGAGGCAAAGGCTCTGTGATTTCCTTTCTTTGCCTAAAACATCACCCAGCCCAGCAGTGGGGAGTCTCACAGCAGCACCCACTGCTCTGTAGGGTGGGCATCTGTTGACTCAGTGTTCACTCTTGCCACTCATGTGACTCCATCCCTACTCGCTGCATGCCCAAGATTCAGACACTGTACTCTCTCGCCACTCGCATCCAACAACTCAGTCAATGTCCTCTCTTGCTACTGGAAGCTTGCAGCTCACAGCTTACAGATTGCCCTGCTGGGCTACCCCCTGTAGCTCTCTGTTCCTCCAGGCCGAGGAAGTGCCTGCTACCTCCAACACTAGCTTTCTCCCCTCCCCTGGCCAGGCTGCTAGTTTGAAGCTATGCTGCTGGGCTGCATCTATGGCCTTGTCTGTGGCCATGTCTGTTCTTTCCTCCCTTCTCATCTCCCTTTTAATCCCCTAATGCTCACCTTTAGGGGCTTCCATGTGCAGGTCTCTCAGGCATGCATCTGTGTTGAGCAGGGACTTCTTTGTTGAATTATAGGTGGTTAACTTGTTGAAATGCCAGGGGGAGAGGAAAAGAGGTGCTCTGACACCATCATTCCTCTGGTGTCGCCTCTCTCTATAGCCCTGCGAGGTATATATTATTATCCCAATTTGCAGATAAAGAATAATGGCCCAGAAAGATGAAATAGCTTCTGCAAATCCCCAGTGTATAAATAAGGATTTGAATGCAAGTCTTGCAGTTTCGAGGTCAGTGCTCCTTCCCCAGTGCTATCAAAGAGGTGCTGACTGCCTCCTAAAAATGATTCATTGCTCCAAAATCCTGAGGCAAGCTAGTATCCCATCTTGAGATACACTGGAACTAAATCTGGAAGCATTTGCTTCCTCAGCTGGTCCTGTTTCCCTGCTTACTAGAGGCAAGTTGGCTGTGCTTAAAGGGGTATAGATACATGAAGGGATTGATGAGTTTGAGAAGAGAAATTCTGACCTGATATTTCTTAAAGGCCCAAAGAATCTACTCTATGTAATACAGAAATAGTATGTGTACTATCTTTATAAATGCTTATCTTTTTTAAGACACCTAATCATTCACTATTCAGAATTTCTAAAAAACATTTTCATTCAGCCTTCTTGTTTTTAAATTGGTTAGCCATCTGTTTCTAGGAGAAATTGAAAAGGCAGAATGTCAAATAAAGGCCATGAGTCAGAAGCTCTTTCAAAGTGCCCTTGAGCAAAACCTTTAACCTTTTGGGGCCTTCTGCCCATATCTGAAATGAGAAGACTAATCATGTTGTTTATTTATTTAACAAATATTTGTTGAGAATCTCCTGTGAGCCAAACCCAACCTCACTGGAAGGCTTCCAAAGTTCATCTATTATTAAAAAATGATTTGTACTTAAGAAATGCCATATCAGTATCTACCTAAATGTTACATGCACATCCTCTAACCCATTCCAGGATTATCTTACAGAAATACTTGCACATGTGTACAAAGATCACACACAGGCTTCTACTATGGCATTATTTGTTTTTCTTTTATTAATATATACTTTTTTACTGATTTCAAAGAGGAATAGAGAGGGAGAGAAAGATAGAAACACAATGATGAGAAAGAATCATGGGTGCCTCCTGCGTGTCCCCCAGGGGGGATTGAGCCCGTAACTTGGGCATGTGCCCTGACTAGGAACTGAAACATGACCTCCTGCTTCATAGGTCAATGCTCAACCATTGAGCCACACTTGCCGAGCTACAGCATTGTTTGTAATGGGGGGAAAAAACTTTATATAATACAATCTAAATGTTAGAAATGCCATAATCCAATTAAAAAGAAGGTAAAGAGTCTCTGACATATTAAAAAGAAGAAAAAGCAAATTATAACTGTCCATATAGAGAGATATATAATCCCATTTATATGTCATCCCACTTATCTAAATAAAAAAAGATATTTTTGGATATATATATATATTTTTTTTTATAAAAGCATAGAAAATATCTGAAATTCCAAAAAATTAACAGTGGTTACCTAAAAAGTTAAATGGGCTGAAATGGCTTTCACTTTTTACTCTATATACATCATACTATTTAAATGTTTTACAGCAAGATTATACAACTTTTATTTCTAAAAATAATTTAAAATATTTAAATGCCCTAGAACTTAACTAATAAAAACAAACAGAACAAAATTAGGCTTTAGACTCTGTTGATTCTTAGATTAGTGTTGTTTATTTCTGAGAATGAAATTGAAGTCAGATGCTTATGGATCCTCACAACTTGAGATAACCCTGTGGATTCCAGGGAGAAAAGGTTATAGGGAGAAAATGACAACTGCAAAGATTTTTATAAAGGGGGGGTTCACTTGTGGCCACTTGTGCTCCTTTTCTGTAACACCTCAAAGAGGGAAAAGGTGAGAAAAATATGTAAGCTGTGGGCACATGCTTGCCTGGAAGGTTCTTGCTATGCCTGGTTCTGATGGACGGAAGTCTTTGGAAGGCATTTTCACAAGGTGCCCTGCTCTGAGTCAGCACATTACTGAGCAGACCTAGGTCCACAGAGAGGAAGTGTGCAGTGACTAACCCCACCAGCACTCTGGGCCTTACTGTAATCAAAAGGATGTTGGCTCGGGAGGGTGGGAGTAATGAAAACAGTCTGGAGACTTGGCCTTTCTGCAGAATGTGGGGAAGTTAATGAAGCAACAGGCTGAGCACTGACAAACATGGAGGGCAGGAACACCGCTTCCAGCGGAAAGAGCTTTATTGTCCTGTTGCCTTGACTCTTCCTTGCTTCTCACACAGAGGGGGCCACAGCCAGCGAGTACAAAGCCCTGATGACTGAGCTCAAGATCTTGACCCACATTGGCCACCACCTGAATGTAGTCAACCTGCTGGGAGCCTGTACGAAGCAAGGAGGTAAATGAGAAGGAATAGGCCTGCACCGTCTCTGGCTCAAATGCTAGAAGCAGTTCTCCAACATACAGCTTCTTCCCCCCACCCTGCTCCTCCTCACCTCCTAGAAAATGGCCTTTCAATAGGTTCAGAGGAAACAGTTTTTTCATCTATAAAAGGGGAGGGTCCCATCCTAGGAACGCCTTCCCTGTGCAGTTAATTTAAAGGTTCTGAAGGCAGCCAAGCCATAACCTTTCCAGGGGAGGGGAGGGAGGGGGGGCATTGAGATTTAAAGGTCTTCAGGAACACTCATTAGTTTAGGTGAAGCTTCAAAGGAAATGTGCAACCTATGCATTGACCTCAGCTCTGGTCACACTCCTCCAAAGTCACCTTCAAAACTGACCATGGCTAATCAGAGAGCCTCCTCCACCTGTGCCTCTGAGCTTGGTGTAGCGGCCTCGGGGAGATGGCAGGCTCCTCCTCAGGGTGGGTGATATACAACCTATGGAAGCAACTTCCTGTTCCGTGCCAGAGGGCAGAGGAGGTGCCGTCAAGCCTTCTAACATGCAAGTCCTGACGGAGACAGCGCACCCTCTGCTGAGCAGGCGGCCTCTGGGAGCCTGAAAGGCTAGGATCCTGTGCCTTTGGGCTCAAGGAACCCACGCGGCTCCCAGCATGTGGAACTGCTCCAGGATCACACTGATGTCCCGGAACCGGAACCGGAAGCTGCTCTTCGCAGCAGGTCTCAGCCTGCAGGCCTGCCGGGCCTGTGGGGGAAGCAATGGGAAGCGCAGGCCGGAGGAGGCGGAAGCAGCCTTGGGGCACCACTTGGAGGCTGGGTTGCACCTGGGTGTGTTTTTCTTCCCAACTCTCTTGCTTCTTTTAAACCAGGAATCCGCAAACCATGGGGCCAGCCTGTGAGATTAATTTTGAACTATTTATTCATTCCCCTATGCTTTAAATAGTTGAGGGGAAAAGCTCAAAAGAATATTTTGTGAGAATTATATGAAATACAAATTTATATGTTTGTGAAGTTTTATTTCAGCACAGTCACTCATTTGGTTGTATTATCATCTATAGTTGCTTTCACACTACAAGGGCCACATTGAGCTGTATGGTCTACAAAGCCTAAGATATTTGCTGACTGGTCCTTTACAAAAGTTTGCCGACCCCTGCTTTAGCCCTTCTGACAATCCTGGAAGCAAAGCCTGTCTCTCACCTGGCTGGGGAGAGATAGTCCAACAGAAAGAGTCTATTTTCTGCGCTGGAAAGGAGGACCTGCTTGATAATCCTGGGGTTACTGTGGCAATATTTTGAGGCCCCTTTACTCAATAGGGTGTGTGGCTAACAACAGAAGGTGGCAGCAAGTCCCAGGGAGAGGCCGGGCATTGGTCCCTCCTTAAAGTTCTTTCTCCCTCTCCCCCACCCCTCCGGCTTCTCCCCACTCCCAATACCCAATTGTCTCCTATTCCTTTGAATTTTTTAATTGAAAAAAATCTCTCACCCAAAATTGCATCCCTAGACCCCATTAATATAAAAGCAAGTTGGTTTAAGCAGTGGTCGGCAAACTCATTAGTCAACAGAGCCAAATATCAATAGTACAACGATTGAAATTTCTTTTGAAAACCAAATTTTTTAAGCTTAAACTCCTAACGCCCCTTCTTCAAAATAGACTCATCCAAGCCATGCTATTTTGTGGAAGAGCCACACTCAAGTGGCCAAAGAGCTGCATGTGGCTCTCAAGCCGTAGTCTGCCAACCACGGGTTTAAATTTCTCAGGCTGGCAACTGGCTGACCTGCTGGGTGTGGCTGAGCATGTGTTGTTTTGGCTGCAGGGCCTCTGATGGTGATCGTTGAATATTGCAAATATGGAAATCTCTCCAACTATCTCAAGAGCAAAAGAGACTTATTCTTTCTCAACAAGGTAAGGAATTTAGGGATCAGACATTCTTAAGGATAGCAATGACTTTCCATTTAGGCTGTTGCCTCATAAAACAAGAGAAACCTTATCTTTCCATTAGGCTAATGGGCTTTCTCTCCTTTTTAAAAATTTTCTTCCACTCTTTTTGCAGACAGTATATTTGATCCTAGTGTATGGAGCAATAAATAAGGGTTAAAATTTGCTAGCCGTCTATCTAAACACCAATCAAATCATCTTGATAACTTTATCTCTCTCTTTCTCCCTCTCTCTAAATAAACACAGACACACACAAATCACTTAGTCACTTGTTTTATAAAGATAGCAAGTCTAATTGTTTTCATTTATTAGATTAGAGAAATTAAGGACTCGATCAACTGAGTGATTTTACAGTAAACAATAGACCAATGATGGAGCCTGAGAAATCATTTTCTTTGCTTCCCACTCTCCTTTTTCCCACTTCTCCACACCTTCACCACCTGTCACCCCTACATATGCACTGAACCAGCCTTGTGCACTAGATAAGGCTATGTAATAGAAGAAACACATGGGTCAAGTTCTAAAGGCAAACCAAGTCTAAAAGAGATGATTGAATGAAGGAAAAAAGACTTTAATAAAACTTTGCCAGTGTGACCCATCCCACCAACACAATGTCCTTCTCTGGTATGGAGAAGCTCGGCAGACAATGATTCAATATTATTAACTGATAATTAGCAATGTTGGTGAGGAATCCATGTAGGGTGATGGGTAAGCACTTGGACTCTGCGTCCAGACTGCCTGTGTTTAAATCCTGTTTCTATCACTCATGGAACCTTGAGCAAGTTACTCAGTCTCTTTAAATTTAAGTTTCTCATTTATTAAACAAAAGTAATAAAGAACCCAACTCATTGTTCAGAGAATTACATAAAGATAAACATTCAATGAATGTTAACTGTCATCATAATCATCATCGACCCACTGAAATAGAAAAAATAGGTGAGTCCAACTGAATGCCACTGATCTGTATAATCTATATAATAGATTAAGTGTCCAAAACCCATGAGTGGTGCCTATCTCTGTCACATGGGTAAGAGGGGTCATGTGGCATACAAATAAAAACCACTAGACCGCTAGCCCAATCTCTCATCTCTTAAACTTGGATCCAACCAAAGGCACACATGCTCTACCAGACAGGCAGCATATAAGTAAGGACATATTTTCCCCAATTTTAAACCATATCCTCTCATAATTAGAACCTTTAAGTTGAATGGGATCTTGTGATCAGTTATTACACACCCTCACAGTATGTGCTCAGAAAAATTGAGTGATTGACTTAAGGGCAAACACATACCAAGAGATGAAAGAAAGAACTCAGCTCTCTTGTCTCCCCTTCCAGTGCTTTTCTCTATACAACACTGGATAAGGAGGAGGAGAAAACATGAGAAGAAGTAAAAGGTAGTGCCCTGAGCTCAGGGCAGTGCAAACCAGTCCTGAAATGCTGGACTGGCTTCAGGAAGAACTAAGCCAGAATAATACCCCAGGGAGCAGGGCAGGATGGAACATTTGGATTTGTGCGTCCTTTGTTTTGAAGAGTTTGCTTCCTTCTCTGGCTATATTTAATGATTCACCTCCCTGTTGGTGGAGCCTAGTATTACATGAAAAACACATGGCTATATTTCATATTTGGAACCTAAAGCAATATATAGAGAAGGTGATGGAAAACCCAAAAGGCTAAATAGAAATAGGATATTTCATTTTCCAAGTAAATTCACTGCTTTTTGACAAAGTCCCAAAAGTTCAGTTAATCAACCTTTAGGTAACAGAAATAGTTACCAATAAGCAAAGCTGAATGTACCATTGACTGAGAGTCCGAAAGTGGTTGAGGGAGCTTGAGTTATGGTCTTGGGAGACATGCCTCAGGCTGAGACTTCTGGGAAAGTCAGGAAGAAGGCTGCCCAGAGAGCATCGCTGTGGACCTGAGCCCTGAATGGGCCTGTCAAGCACTTTTCTCCCCCACACCCCTGCCAGCACTCTTCCCTCTGCCTTCTGTCCTGGAGAGGGTCTTGTAATAAATAACATTCCAATCCCCAACTGAGCAGAATCTAACTGCTTCAGGGAGATATTCTTTACCGGCTTTCAGGCAGGTCACCAGAGTGGCCGTGGCTGTGCACCCAGAGGCCTGCCTCCCGACCTGCAGCACAGGAAGGTCTCTTTTCAGGGGCAGCAGCCTAGTAGCCTCTACACTTTTAGAATTTGTCAGCTGTCCCTCCTGAAACTCTCTCCTCTGGCCTCTGCTTGCTCCCACTGTGCCCTCTAGTGGAGAAATCACTCCTATTTTGCGACATTTCTTTCTTTCTTTCTTTCTTTTTTAATATATTTTATTGATTTTTTACAGAGAGGAAGAGAGAGGGGTAGAGAGTTAGAAACATCGATGAGAGAGAATCATCGATCAGCTGCCTCTTGCATACCCCCTACTGGGGATGTACCCTTGACCGGAATTGAACCTGGGACCTTTCAGTTTGCAGGCCGACACTCTATCCACTGAGCCAAACCGGTTTCGGCGTATTTTGTGACATTTCTAGGAAAAGCCAAGGAAGGGCAGAAAGCCTGGCTAATCCTAGCACTGCCACAGTGTGTTGGCAGCTCAGGGGACAGCACTGAACCCCAGTCCCCCTGGGCCATGTTTCAGTATTGCCATCTGGCAGAATTGAGACTAGGTACCTGGTCCCGTCATGAGGCCACTGGAAGTGTTTATTGTCACAGTTGTTAGTTGAATTACTAAATGTGCTACAAATCCTTTCTGGTTCCACATAAACACCCAGACCAATAACTTGTTTTTCTATGAGTCAGAACTCGTTTTTCCATTCTATGATAGGATGCTAGAGCCTTTCAGATGAGTAAAATGAAACGGAGACAAATGAGGTGATTTTCCCAGGATCACATCACTAATGGAAGAGCTAGACTGTACACCAGGGCTTGGATGCCCTGTCCAGGATGAAAGGCCTTTTCTACCCCTGTATTGGAAGAAAAAAAATGTTCATGTTCCCTCCTTTCCTAAGGAAACTAGAGAAATTGGTACGATAGCCCTCTTATCACTCCTCATAGGGGTTGCAAAGGGAAGCCCCAAGTCCGCTGGAGATGCTTTTCTGCCATTCATGTCATCTTTCTTAAGCTGGCACATGGGATGGGAAAAGTGGTTAAGGGCACAAACTGAAGATGGCCAGACCTGAGTTCAAGCTTTGCCATTTACTTGCTCCATGTAACTTGGATTACTTGACTTCCCTAAACTTATTTCTTTAAGTATAAGCAATAACTACTTTATGGAATTGTTGGAAAGATTAAATGAGAAAATATACCTAGTTTTTTTTTATTTTTTTAATATTCTGGCTCACAGTGAGTTCCAGCTGAGATTACTATTCCTTTATCCCACAACCCCAGGAATAGCCGGGTGCCTTGCTGCTAATTTATTATCTGTTTTGTGGAATGACATTCTCTCAACTCGGTCAATTGCCAGCTGGAGGAACTATCTTCTCCATTTCGGTTCTGGAACTCCCTTTCATCTGTGTCCTTCTTGATCTGTTCAAAGGATGCAGCATTGCACATGGAGCCTAAGAAAGAAAAAATGGAGCCAGACGTGGAGCAAGGCAAGAAACAAAGACTAGACAGTGTCACCAGCAGCGAGAGCTTTGCAAGCTCCGGGTTTCAGGAAGATAAAAGTCTGAGTGATGTGGAGGAAGAGGAGGGTAGGTATTAATTCCTTCCTGTCCTACAGTCTGAGATATTTTTGCAACATACTGTGCATCTCTGAAATTTTTTTCTTATTTATCACCCTAATAAACATCCGTGGGAGACTAGAAGGGTAATGTCCTGAGGAGATAAGATTTGAGTAAGATTATTTACAGAGTTACTAATTTTGACAGGGAACTCTGTACAATTGTCTCTCCTCAAGCCTTTTTGTCTTAATGGGTTATTCCCCCCTACTCCACTCCATGCTTGGGAAAATGGGCTGGAGGCCTGGAAAGATCTCTGATATTCATACTGAAACTCAAATGCCCTTGAAAATGAACTCTGATCCACTTATTGGTTTGTTTTATGTTTTACTAACACTGATCCAATAAACCGGGATTTGGCATAATAACAAGCGCCATTACAAACAGCTACGGTTTTAATGCTTTCCAGATTCTGACGATTTCTACAAGCAGCCCATAACTATGGAAGACCTGATTTCTTACAGTTTTCAAGTGGCCAGAGGCATGGAGTTTTTGTCTTCAAGAAAGGTCAGCCTTGCTCTTTACTGTTGCTCTTCTTTGCCAGGGCTGGACATGTGGGCAGTGACATGGCAAACACACGTGTTGGCTATAAATCCACTTTTCCTAGTATTTGCTTGTACTTATGTCCTTAAATATGGAGCAAATATCATGACCGATGCCTGAATTTGTCCTGATAGGAGCGAGGAGTTTGGAGAGCACTAAGCCTTAATACCAGGGGGTAGAAGTGAACTCTAGGGGAAAGCTGACTGGGCAGGCCTGGCCCCATTCTTCACATCGTTCTCCACGTGGCTGCAGCCCAGACCTGAGCCTCAGAACACTCCATCCCCAGGAGGGCTGTTAGTCCGTCCAGCTGAGGGGCCCTCCCGGGAACTGTAGCTGGGGGACCAAAGGTTGGGGAGCTTTTGCTCCCTGGGAGGATTTGAGCTTCATTGAGGAGGACTCTGTGCTGCAAAACAGGAGCAAAGCCTTGCAGGCCCCTTGAGTTTGGGAGTTCGGGGCCTCCAGGGGGCCTCTAGCTGTAAAGAGGCACTTCAGCGGTTTAAGGTGACTCCATGTGCCCTGGGGGTTGCTTCCGTTGTGTAACAGATCCTCAAATTAAAAAGAATAATGACACTGAGAAGCCACAGGAAATTAGTCAGTTAGACTAAGGAAATGCATTGATTATGCAACCGTTTTTATTATAGTGCATTCATCGGGACCTGGCAGCTCGAAACATTCTGTTGTCTGAGAACAACGTGGTGAAGATTTGCGACTTTGGCCTCGCCCGGGATATTTATAAGAACCCCGATTATGTGAGAAAGGGAGATGTAAGTCAGTTTAATATTTCCTTGACTCATTTATACCCTATCAATTTTAAACCACAGACCAATTCCCTTGGTAAATATTTACTCTTCCTCGACAGCGGTCCCCTGAAAACCATCGTGTGCTTTCTGTGGAGACAAACGACGGCTGTGTCCCAGAGAGCCCGAGTGCGGGGTGGCCCTTGTCTGAATGGCCACTGCACCGGGTTCTGTTTTCCCCTCACTTCCCGCTGACCTAGGTCAGATCAGTACAAATCTGAAATCAGTACCTGTCCTCTGGGCAGTGCCACCTGAGCTGGCTAACCTGAGAGTGTTTGCAGGCTCTGGGCACCTCCCTTTGACTCCTGTGGGAGTTTTTGGAATCGCTGGAAAGAACAGCCTGGACTCTTTCCCTCAAATAAACCCAGATGATTGATTCAGCAGGTGTCTATATCTCAGGAAAGGGTGGGGGAGGTATTGGTATTATCTTGTTATTGAGGAAGCTGCCCCCCCACCTTCACCCCCGCATAGCATCCACCTGCGGTTCACACTGGCTCTTCTCTGCTTGTTTGTGGACACAGTGTTATGTTTCACTTTTGTGGGTGACCTCCTGTGTCCTCTCTTCTCAGCCTGCACCCTGAGCGCTTAAGTCTGTGTCCGGGCCCTGCCCATTACTCTGCAGTAGTGATTCTCAGACTTCAGTGTGCTCACAAATCGCCTGTAAGGCGATTAAACTACAGTTAGCTGGGCCCCACTCCCAGAAATTCTAACGTAGTAAGTCTTGTGTAGAGCCTGAGATTTTGCCTAACAAGTTTCTAGATGCTGCTGACACAGCTGGTCCTAGGACTTTACTTTGAGAGCCACTGCTTCGGCTCTTTAAAAATAAAACAACTTTCTTGGGGAGCCCTGACCTGCAGAGATTGCACCTGTCTATGTATCGGTCTGTCCCCTTCTGTTCATCTGTGTCTCTTCAGCCTCTCCCTGCCCCTCCCCTTTTCATTTTTCTCTTTGTCTCTCCATTGTTTCATGATTCATTCCCACCCATCTAAGGCGGCAAGGCCTAACTCACCAGGATTCCTGTTACCGAGAAAAGAACAAAAATGTCTCGACATCTGAAAACCAGTCATATGATTTCCCAAATACTGTCTATCACCTTCTTTCCTTCCTGTGCCTTTGCCCACTACCCCCATTTAATGACTTTTAAAATTCTGTCTTTTTAAATAAGAATGCTGTTCAAAATCCTCCTTCTGAAGAAAAATTTTTGGAAATTTTGGATTTTTCAGGATGTCTTCCAATTCAGATCACCCTTTTCCAGGTCCCTGTGGAGTGCGGGATTTTGGGAAGACTGATTTCTTACAGAGTCGTGGAGTTAAGAAGTGATGACACATAGGAGGGGCTTAATAAACAGTAATTATTTTCATAGTAACCACATAGCGCATAGCTCTCTCTTTTAGTTTAACTGCATGTTACAAGAGTTTTCTCCTGTGTGAGGAAACCATAACTGCTCTAGGAAATGATTTCTGGGCCAAGTGTTATCTGGGAAGTGACCTTATGGGCACTTGGGTTGAATGTGCTTTGTTTGCATGTCCTTCTGCTCAAGGCCCCCTTGCCCTTTTCTAGACGCGACTTCCCCTGAAATGGATGGCTCCTGAATCTATCTTTGACAAAATCTACAGCACCAAGAGCGACGTGTGGTCTTATGGAGTGCTGCTGTGGGAAATCTTCTCCTTAGGTAAGTTTGGGGGAAGGAAGAGATCAAATAGACAAGAACCAAATGTTTGCTGAGTGTCCTTTGGGTAGATACAACCTATAGGTCAGCTTCTAAAAGAACCTAAAACCCTCACAGGGCGTGGGTTCGTGCAGAATGTCAGGTGAGAAGTGGTGCATCCTTACTATGCAAAGTAAAGATGCTTTACATAGACACAAGCAAGGTCAGATCAGTACAAATCTGAAGTTGGGTTTACATTCAGCCAATTTGGCTATTCCTTTCTTTGTCTTTTGCCCCCTTCTCCTAATTCCTCAAACATGAGGATTCCTAATGCCCTTTCCATCCCCTCCCTGCATCATGCCTCCTTCCGAGTTTCCTAGGAAAGGCCCCAGCAAGCACAAGGCAGCCAGTGTTAGGAGCAGGAGGCCTAGATAGAGCAGCTAAGGTAAACACAGCTAGTCCTGGACAGTGGTGTATGCAGGATGAACGATGGGGACATTGGGTGTAGTTATTCCGCTTCCAGAAACATCCACGATGGGTGACTAGACACCTTGTTCAAGGCCCCGAGCACACAGATGTGCACAGAGCCCACATCTGCTTGCAGACACACACTGATGCTCTGAAGCCTCCCAAATGTGGGGTCTAGCCAAGAGTCTTTTAGACTTTGCCAAAAATTTGCCTTTTAGAACAAATAAAAGTCACCCAGTAACATCCCTGGTTTCCTGTAATGTGTGGAAATCATTCCCCTGCTTTCGATGACAGGCACCTGTTGCTTCCAGTCTTTGAAAGCAGCTTGGCGGCCACATGGCCCCGCAGTGACACAGTGCCAGCACTGCACACCTCCCAGCTGCTTCCTACCAGCAGTAATCACTAGAAAGTACAGACAACACATGTGAGATAGACTAGGTTCGAGGTCTGGAACAGAGCAGGCTAGGAGGCCGGGCTCACCATTATCCCTAGCCAAGAATCCCCTAAAAGGAAAGGTTACGTGGGCATCCTGAACAGCAAAACTTGCAAAAGGCCAAGTCTAGGCCCTCTGGAACCCTCTGGCACAGACTTCTGCCCACAGCAATCCCTACATTAAGCTCCTCCTAGAGCTCAAAGCCCCTCTCCCTCAGTCCTAGCACAGCAACAAGTGCCCAGTTCTGTGAGAAGTTTACAGGAAAGTAGTGAATTAAAATCACCCTCACTGAGGTGTGAATAATCTACAAGGGACGTTGGCCTTTTAAAATGAAGTTTATTAACGCAAGGAATGAGTCTAATGATGGATTTCTTTAAAGTTCCTTGTGGGGAGGGAGAAGGGACCTTCCGATGACACCCTCTCTCCTGAGCAAAGAGAGAGCAATCACCCGGGGTATTGGACACCCATCACCATGGGACCTGCCAGGCAAGCGTGTGTCACTAGCAGGCATTTGCTGAGCTTTGGTATGGGTTGTACTTTGTGTAGAGATCCATTCCTGTCACTCTGAATTTATTACTAAATTATCACTTCAAAGGGAGGAAAAAGAACCCCTTAGAGTCTTCGGTGCCCTGAAGCCGTAATGTGCCCTGTGCTTTCCCCATTGTCTCGCGCAGGTGGGTCTCCATACCCAGGAGTGCAGATGGACGAGGACTTCTGCAGCCGCCTGAAGGAAGGCATGAGGATGAGGGCTCCTGAGTATGCAACTCCTGAAATGTGAGCCCTGGACCTCCTCCATCCCCCTCACAGCCCTCGTGCCAGCAGGACACCTCAGAAAGGGCCATTTGTTTTATCATCCTAGTCCTGCGTAGCCTCAATTGGGTCCAACTCTGCTGGGGTATCTTCCAGAGTGAGGCACCCTGACCTTGAGCCATCCTAACCTATTTCCTCTCCTGACCACTGGCGTGGCTTTGCAAGGCCTCTCTCTTGCTGGGAACTGAAGTTAGAAACTCAATTATAGGTATGAATCCAGGCAAAACTAACAGACCACCCAGGAACTAAATGTAAGACCTTGTCCTCACTCACAAAGTGGAAACCAAATAAGTAAAGCAGTCACAGAGACAAAATGCTAGAAGCCCCTATGATCGGTCCTCTGTCCTCACTAAAGACCCGCGAGGGGGTTGGGGAAGAGGTCTACGAGAGGAAGTGGGGGGTTTCCTGATGGAATCAGTCATTATACTCCACAGGAGGCAACTTGAGCAATAAGACCGCTTTAGACTCATCTTAGGAACTGGCTGCAGAGCCTGAAGCTTCTCTCGGTGGCTTCCTGCTGTGCAGCCCTGTGACTCCAGAAAGGTGACAGGCCCTGTGAGGAGGCTTCCTCATTGTTCAAGGCTCACTTGTCTCTCTTGGACGCTCTTTCTTCCTGAGCAGGAATGTGATGACACTTGCAGTTTTGTAGAGCTGCTGACAAGGACTTGGGCCTCCCCAGGGCGGCACCACCTTTCCTGAAGTGGCAGGCAGCGACCCTCCCCATCCCACCCACACAATGGGGTCCTGTCAGCAGCCCTGGGATGGCCTCTGGGGAGGAGTCAGAGGGAATGGAGGAAGTGCGGACTTGGCCAAAGGGCAGGGTCTGTCTCTTTCCTTCAGGTCTGAAGACAAGGTTAGGTCAGACCCAGGGTGAGGGCCAGGAGGACAGGGGACTCAGGCCTGGGAAGGAAGGCAGAGTGTCCAAAGTCCACAACACTGTGCTACACATCTGCAGAGTGTATGTCCAAGTCTGACCCAGCTTCCAGTCCAGAATAACTGTAGAGGTACAAACTCATATCAGCTGTGGACTAAGAAGGACTTTCAACTTTCTCAAACCTTCAAGTCTTCCCATAAACTTCTCCCAGGTAGTGCTGGTACCCCCCACAGCCAGAGGAAGGATTGTTCCTTAATTCTAGCAATTTATTTCAGAAATGATAAAAAATAAGATGCAGTTTCGTGAAGTGTTGGTTCAGAAGGACAGAATTCAACCTTAGCCATTCTGAAGCATTAGAAGATTGCCGGGGTGAGGACGGAGTACAGCTCTCAGAACCGGGATTGTGACTTAAAGTGGCATGCGTGTGAGAGCTGGGGTGATGGCTCAGACCGAAAGCCTTCCCACAGAGCCCTTGCCCCCAGCTTATTCCAAGAAGGCCTGTGGAGTTGTGTGCAACTGGTGTCCCTTTACTTTATTAAAGCCTGTTTACTTAGAGCTGTAAAACTGTTTAATGCTAAGTCATTGGTTTTCTGCCCAGAGCCTCGGATGTCTGTCAATAAAGGAATAAGCAGTTAATTTTTTTTTCTTTTCTTCTGGTGTTTGCTGAGATAATTTGTATTGAATTTCAGGAAAAAGAAGTGAAAACCAGAAACCAAGAATCAAAATATAAGACAGCAACCATTGTAGGTAGTTCCTCTTGCTAGTTTCAGCTCAGAAAACCCAAAAGAGCACTCTCAGTGTCACATCCCCAGCAGCTGCTTCTCAGTGGGAGATGCCGCTGGCTGAGCCAGCAGGGCCTCCAACCATCCTCCCTGCCTCGGGCCCCTCTTTGTTTCCCCAGTTCGTCTTTCTTGCTTTGGTTTCCTTTTGTAGGTTGTCTATGGTTATGTTTAATGTTCTCCCAATGGCCTCTGTTTATTGCTGGAGATAAAGGAGCCTTGGAGGATTGGGTCTGAATATGGCCAGAGGGGAGCGGGCCAGCCTCCGCCACGGCCATGCAGCATGGGGAGAGGGATCCGGCTTTTGTCTAGTGACCCCTGTCTCTGTAATATATATATTTTCCACTGGTTTTAATGAGTGACACATAGAAACTTACCTGAAAATGAGATTCACGTAGGACTGTGCAGACTGCTTTGGCTACTTCAGACCTTGGTCACACAGGCTGGCCCAGCTTGCCTGAATGAGTGCCTTAAGCCCTTACTCTGAGGCACTGCTGGTCAGCAATTCACACAAGTTATTTTTATGAGTTCCTATCCCTTACTCAGAGCTCCAGACATCTGCTTACTGGGTACTTGTCAGAAAACAGAACCTCAGTATCCAACTATGAGGGAAGCAGGGGATGAAGACCACATGGTGCCACATTCCTCTGGGCACCTAGAACTTTATCCCTGGGTTAAAATAGAACCTTGGGACTTGTTTACCTGGACTACTCTTTTGTTTCTCAGAACTGTTTTTATTGAATGGCATTTTTTGCTATTAAGGCTTCGGCCAGCGTTAAAAGATAGTGTCCAATGGGAGAAAATGGGGCACATCAACAATAAAGATAAATAAATAAATAAATAAATAAATAAGGCAGACCCACAAAGTCATTATTATCTAGAGCAGTGGTCGGCAAACTCATTAGTCAACAGAGCCAAATATCAACAGCACAATGACTGAAATTTCTTTTGAGAGCCACATTTTTTAAACTTAAACTTCTTCTAATGTCACTTCTTCAAAATAGAGTCGCCCAGGCAGTGGTATTTTATGGAAGAGCCACACTCAAGGGGCCAAAGTGCCGCATGTGGCTCACGAGCCGCAGTTTGCCAACTACTGACCTACATGGTAATGATGTTGAGTGGCGTCTAGGAGAGCCTCCTTTCAGATTTCAGCTCTGGGAATGGCTGTGCGACTTCACGTACCTGGTTTGTTTTGAACTGCTGGCTTATGTGCATCGTGTAATTGACTGCACCTTCTTTTTTGCCAGTTACCTGGGAACCATGATATAAACTTTGCATACTAACTTTGTCTGTAGTTCCACCTTTTATTCCTTATTTTACCCACCACCACCAACATTCTTCTTTTCTTTTTTTTAACCTTCCTATACTCTTACTGCCTTTACCAGCCACTTCATATACTTTGAAACCAAATAGGGGTATCCTTAAGAGACACTTGGGGTTGTTGGTGCAACTGAAAGCACACCGCTGGGAGTGCAGAGGTCAGAGAGCACTGGAGCTGCTGAGGTGCTCTATCTCCCTGGAGGCCAGTCTGCCTTCCTTCAGCAAATCCTTACTGAGTGCTTATATGCCAGGCCCTGACTAGGTAAAGGGTGTGGCGATGAGGCCCCATCCCCGTTCCAAATTCCGAGCCCATTCAGATTTTGATCCTACACAGTCTGAGTCCTCTCTAGTCTAGATGATCTCCTGAAAGAAGAGATTACTTACAATAAACATCTCTTGGAGAGAGCAAAAGAGCCCAAAAAGAATAAATCCTTAAGGCAGTGTGTGTGCAGACTGCTGGCTTGTGTCCCTGCAGACAGGGCCAATGGAGGACCCAATACCTTCATTTCTAAGATGTCAGAGGAGAAGAATTGCAGAGGAACCTGCTGACATTGAAATCCCAGAACAAGATTCAGCTTCTGTAATATTAAGGCAAATGTTTCTATGTCCAAAAGCCCAGCCTGTATTTCTGCCTTCAGTGGTAGGAAGCCTTTGATGTGCTGGGGACAGGGGAAATCAGCCACAGGCAAAGAACTTGTGCCCAGGCCAACGACACATTCACATGTTAGGTGGACTGCCACCTTTTGGAAGTGATATGAGTCCTACATTTCTCCATCAGCTTCCATCAGAACACTGAGGACTTGGAAATTCCACATGCTTTGAAGCCCAAGTCAGTCTGGCCGGTGTAGCTCAGTAGTTGAACACCAACCTATGAACCAGGAGATCACAGTTCGATTCCCAGGCAGGGTATATGCCCGGGTTGTGGGCTTGATCCTCAGTGCAGGAGGCAGCCAATCACTGATTCTCTCATCTCTCTCTTCTTCTTCCTTCCCCTCTTAAAATATATATTTTTAAAAGTCCAAGCAACCTCTGTTACAGCCTGATAATCTAATAAGTACTGCAAACTATTCACCCATTGATATTTGTGTCTGTGTTAACGTTTTACCATTAAGAAGTCCTGCTTTTGGCAGTGAGGGCAGAAGTATTGCACGTCAGATCTAACTGCAGGGAACAGTGGTTTTTCCTTTTCATAGCTCTGCTTCTTCCCAGAACGCCCTTCCACTCCGCGCTCCAAAGAACTAGAGTTGTGATGGGTTCTGGAGGGGATTCCTAACTTGCCTTCGAGGACATATTTTCCCCCACCAGCAGGACCTCACCCAAACAGCCATTTATGTGTTGGCGTGCTTAACAAAACTTACAAAGAAAGGCAAATATCATACAAGAAGCCTAATCATCCTATATGACAATACCTTCACTTTGGGGTGCAGCGTGTGGGGCAGCTGTATCATCGCCGCTGCTCTCCAACCATTGCTCTCGTGCTTTCACCCAACAGCTATCAGCTCATGCTGGACTGCTGGCACAGAGACCCCAAAGAAAGGCCAAGATTTGCAGAACTTGTGGAAAAACTAGGCGATTTGCTTCAAGCCAATGTACAACAGGTAAAGCTATCTAGAATAACAGAAGCCAATGCCTTTTTGGGTGTAAGCCAAGGGGGTGTTTTGTTCTTTTAATACCTGTTAATAGCTGAGATTAGCATTAAAAAAAATTGGGGGGGGGGTGCATACACAATAATTATCTTTTACAGAATTATCTTTCCAAAATACAACTAAGATTATAAATATAACATAGTTGAAACTGACATAATGCTTCACAAAAATTGATTGCAGTAGAAATTTCTGCACTTACAACTCTATCTTTGGTATTTTAGGATGGGAAAGACTATATCCCACTAAACGCCATACTTACAAGAAACAGTGGGTTCACATACTCAACTCCTGCCTTCCCTGGGGACTACTTCAAGGAAGATATTCCAGCTTCACGGTTTAATTCAGGAAGTTCTGAAAATGTCAGGTAAGACTTTTTTCTTTCCCCAACTTTATAATACTTTCAAACATAACAAGATAAAAAAAAAAAAAAAAAAAAAAAAGAAAGAAAGAAAGAAAAAACCCGCACCTCCTAAATTCAACCGTAGTTAAGTTACGCCTATTTGGTCTATATATCTATGTATCTGTGCACAGTCCCTGTGTGTGTATTTTTCTTTTTAATGAAGCATTTGAAAGAAGGCCTAAACTATTATGACACTTTCCACCTAAATACTTTGTATACATCTTGTAAAGATATTCTCCTGTGTAACCACATCAAAATTATCATATCAAAGAAATTGATAATACTTTAATATTGTTAAGTATTCAAATTTCTCTAAATGTCCTTTACACCTTAAAAAGAAGGATCCAATCAAGAATAACTCTTTGCATTTTCTTCAGTTCCTTTAGTCTATCTTATTCTAGAACAGTGGTTCCCAGTGTGAGGCACACACCCCAAAGGGAGGCAATTTGATTTTTAAGGAGGACAATTAGAAAATGAGTTATTAAAAGTTAATTTTTTTTTGCATTTCTTATGGTTCTAGGGGCCTCATATACTAGTACAGTATATAAAGATATGTCATATTTATGTACTTCAGTTCTCTATTATGTTCTGTAACTTTATTTTTTTATATTACTTCATATTATTATTTTAACAATTTCTTAGTGATTTCTTCCTCAGTGCTTCAGCTGTCCTTTCATTCTTTTATTTTTCTCTTTCATGCCATGTTCTTTGGAAGTTTGTTAAGACCAAGCCTTTTAGGCTTCTCCACATGAATAGGAATTCACTTTTTGAATAATAATAATTATATGTCATAAGAACGGCATGGATTTTAGAAATGTTAGTTGGGGCGTGGTCAAAAAAAAAGTTGGGAACCACAGTTCTAGAATAATTCCTTCATCTTTTTTTCCCCCCAATAACATTGACTTTTTTCATAAGATCTTAGATACAAACACACTAGATTTTTCTTTTTTACCTGATCAATGAACATATCTCTCAGTGCTACAGAGGAAATTGGAGAGAGGGGTAGGGAAGAAATATTTGAGAGCCTCCTACTGGGGGGTGGCTATATGTGCATCACACGTTTAGTACTAGCAATTACATATATGTCTCATATGTTGTTATTAATTGTTGCACATGTATCACACATTACTACTAATGATTACACATGTATGACACCTCCATGCTAATGGTTATACTAAAAGTGTATCGTACACATTCAGTATTAATGGTCACACAGACACATACTGTGTGTGGACTGGCATTGTGCTAGGCTTTTTGCATATGCCAACTCCTTTGAGGTTCAAAACAATCCTATGAAAGAGATATTATTATTCATGTTTTACAGTTGAGGAAATTAAGGTTCCAAGAGGAATAGCTTGCCAAAATTGTGTCAGAAGAGAGTTTCTAGCTCAGGTATTCTGCCACTCCCTCCCTGTTCCATGCAGTCAGGACTCTTTTTGGGGGGCTGACTATCCTGTGGGCTTTCCAGCATTTTTATCTTCAGTGGACACAACCCTAGGACTCTGACCTCAGTCCGGACAAACTGGGCAGGTGACCAGGGAAGGCACTGGGAAAAGCTGCACAGTCTGAAAAGACTGACAGCCTAGAAGCCCAGTGGCCAGCCCAGATTTGTGGTGATGGGTAGCAAGCCAGTGGCACTGCTCAAATTTCACAACCAGCTCAAGAAGCTGAAACAGAGGAGCCATCCAATTTTAAAGATGAGAAAACTAGCTTGGATTAAATAAATTGGCAGGATCTAATTGGGTCAGAGATCGGGGAGGGGAATGTCAAAGTTATTTGGGCCCTTCCAGCATGTTGCTTAGCCTTAGGCCCAATAGAGAGCTTGCCTAAGAAACTAGGTCTAGCAGGCAGTGACAGGGTATCAGACTAAAAAATTCAATCAGTAGATGAACTTGTCTTATGAGTAACTGTATGGTGGATATCTTTGACAGTCTTTCCTAAAGGATCTCCAACAAAAGGTCTGGAAGTAGTTGTGGGGAAATCACACAAATATTACCCATTTCTCCCAATCTATAATCACAGAACAGATATATAAGACCAGCTTTGGTACTCAATTATGCCATTAAATCAGCTGTGTGACCCTGACAGGTCATTGCATTTGTTCCCTCACATCCTTTTAGAAGTAGGCAGCCACATGATAAAGTCATGTCACATCTCTGGGCATTTCTTCCTCCTCTTTGTAATGTAGGGTGCTTAGACTAGATGATGGCTCAGGTCTCTCCTAGGCCTGACATTTTCTGATTCCACAAGGGGCCAGATGTCTAACCATTACTGATTCTCTCAAAGCCCTCTGGAGTTTTGTTCAAAGCCATAAAATGTGGATTAATAACCATGGGAAGAAGTGGCATCACTGAAGGGCTCCTAGGGGAATTTTAGTCTCGGGAGTAAGATGATTCCTTCTGTTATTTTGGTTCATTGTTGCTGAGATATGGTGCCCCTGGTCTCCTGTCTAATCAAAGCAGGATGCATGTTCCTGTCTTGATTATTCTTTATGTTTCTTCATTAGATATGTAAATGCTTTCAATTTCATGAGCCTGGAGAGAATCAAAACCTTTGAAGAACTTTCACCAAATGTCACCTCTATGCTTAATGTAAGTAATGAATGAACCCACTCAATGCACCCTGGCCAAACTCCACCCAAGCCCACACTCCAGTAGTCTGGTAGCTCTCAGTGAGTGCAGACCAATAATGAGTGGTGGCTGAAATGGCAATTTCAGGGGAATTAACAATAACACAGTTATACAGAGCTCATTGAAAAGCAAGTAAACCCATAGTTTGAAAATGACCCAGAATTCATTCCTGGGTCCAAGTCCTTATCTAATCATAACTTAGTCCCTTAGGAAACTTCATTGTGTGCTTATAAGCTTCTTGGCTACCAAAGATGGAACTCTACTTTCAGGAGACACAGGAACTCAAAACTATGAATGTCTGGGCCTTTGTGATGTAGCAGAACTCTCTCTAAGAGCAGCCTGAGGTCCTGGAAGAAGTCTGCCTGGGCCTATGCTCCTTCCATGAAGGTCCCGGAGATTGAACAGCCATGTTCCTCCCCCGCTGCACTGGGAGGAGCAATCTACGCAGCCTGGCACACAGGGTGAAAGCTCTGGGACCTGGGGCTGATAAAATCAGGGAGGAAAGGGGGTGCTGGGCAAGAGCGCCCTGTGGCCTCACAGACCTTTACACCACAGTGTGATCTCTAGATATGCACTGCTGCCACTTGGTGGGTAGAAATGCTGGCTCTTAGGACCCGCCCACACTCTCCGAGTCAGACTCTGCCCCATCTGGGGACTCCTTAGAGTGTGAGAAGTGCTGGTGATGACCATGTCCCACAGAGGCCTGTAAACCAGCTGCAGTGTGAAGGTAGTGACCACAAATAGTGTGGTCATGACATGTAGCACAGTCACTGTAAAAACACCAAAACCTCTTCAAAAACACCAGATAAAGAGGAAAGGGTCATTTAAACATGTTAAAATATTACAAACAAGCCAAGAATGCAAAGGTAAAGTAGCTGGAAATTTTGTTTTGCTGTTTAGCACTTAGGTTTTAAGTTCAAGGATATGATATTCAGCAAACATGGACGATCTCTCCTCCTCCCCCTCCTTCCTCCCTGCCCGAATATAGTGGGAATGACAGCAGCTTCTTGGCTGGCTTAGGCCTGTTTACTGATAATTGAGGACATGAACACAGCCAGTAACAGATTCAAAGGGTGACAGGAACAAAGCATGGCACAACTTACTGGAAATGGCCTATTAACGGAGTAATGAGGAATCTGCATAAACTCAATGCTAAAGATGAACCAACAAGAAAATAGAATTGCTGGAAACTATGACCAAGGAGTCTTGAAAATTCCACAAAATCTACAAGAAAAAAATTAAACCATATATTTATAATTTCTCAGAATTTTTGCATATCATAGCCACCAAGTAACAGCACTCTCATAGTCAATAGTAATCTGTCAGAATTAGTTTTAATATATTTACACAATAATTTGCATAGAAGTTCACTATGAAAAATGCTCATCTGTTACCTGCAGGTTCCCCTTTTGTTTTAATTTATTTTCTCCACTTTTAGGAAGAAGGGCTTCAAGTCACTGGGAATAGGCATTTCTTACAACTAAAGTTTAGACTTTCCAATATGAAGAAAATGCTTTGTCTTAATGGGCAGGGGTTGTGAAAGGTGAGGACAGAGCCTGGAGAGACTTTAGATGTGCTTCTCCCTTACCCTCCCCCAGACTCGGTGTGGACCCCTCTGGGTCAAGCAAGAAGTGTAACCTTTTCCTTCTTCCCGGCCAGGATTACCAGGTGGACGGTAGCACTCTGTTGGCCAACCCTTTGCTGAAGCGCTTCACCTGGACTGAGAGCAAACCCAAGGCCTCGCTAAAGATTGAGTAAGGAAGCTGGTGTCTTTTCTATGAGCAATTGATGTGGGGGGGATGGTAGGGGGGAGGGAAATGAAGGAAGATGATGGGAAGGTGGTTTAATGGGGATATTTGAGTGCTAGTTGCCCTTCTGAACTATCAGGTTCAGGCATTATGGAAAAACACATTCCACGCCCCCTCTCCCCCCTCCCAATTAGGGCAGGGAGGAGGCAATAAACTCAGACATATGAGCACCAAGCTCTGGGAAGGAAGACTAAGGTTTAGGAAGAGAAAATATGCAGAAAACTGCAGCAAAAACAGGCAGTCCAAACACAGGAAGCACAGTGCCTCAGGTGAAAGAAGCCTGATGCCGACTGTGAACAAAACAAACATCAGATCCCAGGTGGGACAGGGAGGGAAGCCACGCCCATAGTTACACTGGGCACAGCCTTTGTAGCAGAGGGTCATGGTGCTGTTTTCTAGTCCTAAGACATGCCATCCTGAGAACCCACCCTTCAAATGAGGGCTTGCTTCCTGTTTGATCCTAGCACTTCTTCCATACAGTGGCCAGCAACAACTGTTGTCAGAATTACTCCAGCCCTTGCTTATACTCCACTGGCCCACACATCATTTGCACTTCTCTGTGCTAGTGTGCATCTAGGAACAGTGCTGGGCAGGGCAAGGCTGGGCTATCAGGCATCCCTTCCTTCCCTGGTGCCAGGGCCTGCCCATCTCACCCACAGGCAGAGCCTGTTCCTTTCATCTAAGTCAGGGGTCAGCAGGTTTTTCCTCGAGGGGCCAGAGAGTAAACAACTGCTCCATCCTGCCGCTGTAGTATGAAAGCAGTCCGACAGGAGATAAGCAAGACGGTGTGGCTGAGTTCCAACAAACTCCAAAACACAGGTGGCCCTGGCCAACGAACACATGAGAAGATGCTTAGCACCATTAGTCATCAGGGACACACAAATCAAAACCACCGTGAGATACCACTTCAAACCCCTGGGATGGTTAGAATCAGGAAGTCACTGTTAGTGAAGATGTGGAGAAATTAGAACCCTGTGCACTGCTGGAGGGAATGTAAAATAGTGCAGCCACTTTGGAAAATAGTCCAGTAGTTCCTTAAAATGTTAAGTGAGTTACTCTATAACCATTCCATTCCTTAGTATACACCCAACAGAAATGAAAACGATATCCACACAGAAACTTATACACCCATGTTCCCAGCAGCATTATTCATAATCACCAAAAGTAGTAACAACCCAAATGCCCATCAGTTAATGAATGGATAAATAAAAAGCTGCATATCTATTAAATAGAATAGTAATTGAAAATAAGAAGTATAAAGTACTGATGCTTGCTATAATATGGATGAACCTGGAAAACATTAAGTAAAAGAAGCTATAGTGTACCACATATTGTATGATTCCATTGGTATGAAATGCTCAGGATGGGCAAGTCTATAAAAATGGAAAGTATGTTAGTGGTTGTCTAGCTGGGGGTAGGAAGTGCAGGGAAGAGGAGCAGCTGGGTTTACTAATGGGTACGTATGTGTTTGAGAGGGGGAGAGATGATGAAAACTGAGTGTGGTTATGATTGTGCCAACTGTGAATATACTAAAAGCAATTGATGTATACACTTTACAAAGATGAATTGTACAGCATGTCAATCACATCTCAACAAAGCTGTCATTTAAAAACAAAATACCCCTGGCCAGTTGTTCAGTGGTTAGAGCGTCGAACCTAGGACCAAAGGATCCTGGGTCCAAATCCCAGTCAAGGGCATTTAGCTCAGTTGCAAACTCCATGTCTTGCCCTGGTCAGGGCATGTGCAGGAGACAATCAGTGTGTCTCTCTCACGTTAATGTAGCTCTCTCTTTCTCTCTCTCACTCTCTCTCCCGCTCCTCCCTCCCTTTCACACTCCCTAAACATCAATGGGAAAATATCCTCAGGTGAGGATTAAAAAATAATTTTAAAAAAAAAAATCTCTATTATAAAAACCCCTTGACCATGACACCATCACGCCGTCACGCCCAAAGACTGGTCACCAGGAGGCTGCGTGCACTGCAAGGAGTGCATGGGTGGGCAGAGACTTAACTCTGGGTCCCATCTCCCTCCTGGCGTGGCGGGAGTCAGTATGGGTCCCCGCCAGAGTGGTGCACAATATCGCACGCTGGGCCTCTAGTAAATTAATAATAATAAAAACTGAACAAATCATACCAGCCAGGGTGGCTTAGTGGGTAAGTGTCAACCCACAATCCAACAGGTTACCAGTTTGATTCCCAGTTCAGGCACATGCCCAGATTGCAGGCCCACTCGCCAATAGGGGGTGTGTAGGAGGCAGCCAATCAATGATTCTCTCTCATTATTAATGTTTTTCTCTCTCCCTCTCCTTTCCTCTCTGAAATCAATAAAAGGATATTTTTTAAAAATAAAATAAAATAGAGAAAACCATATTTTTTAAAAAGCATGATGTGTGCTTGCTTCAGCAGCACATATACTAAAATTGGAATGATACAGAGATTAGTACGGCCCCTGGGCAAGGATGCAAATTTGTGAAGTGTTCCATATTTAAAAATAAGATAAATAAAATAAAGTAAAAAGATGTGTAAGTTTAAAAAATAAAAACAAAACATATGGCCAGTCAGCCCATCGGCTATATTTGCTGACCTTGATCTAAATCAAAGGAGGGCAACAGAGCCTCCAAGTGACATAGTTAACAGAGTTCATCAACCACAATAAAGTGACTGGATAACATTTCCATGAGCACAATAATGGTACCAGAGTCGGCATCCTCGGTGTACTCAGAGTACAACAAATTGGAGGGCCCCACTGAAAAGGAGTGGGTGGGGAAGTGTGGGATACCGTGGTCTGTTGTTTCCTTCTTTGGAATACTTCAGAAAATGGGTGACCATGTTAATCTAGATCTTTGTAAAGAAAGGAACACCATTAATTACATCCTCTACTTTGAGACTAAAAATACAGAACATGGGCCCTGGCCAGGTGGCTCAGTTGGTTGGAGCTGTCATCCCGTACACCAAAACTGTTGTGGGTTCAATTGCTGATCGGGGCACATACATGGGCTGCAGGTTCAAACACTGGTCAGGATGCATGTGATAGGCAACTGATCAATGTTTCTCTCTCCCTTACTCTCTCTTACATTGATTAACATGTCCTCAGGTGAGGATTTTTAAAAAATATGGAACATGGAGCAAATGCTTGATGTGCAAGTCCAAAACCAATCCAACTAATGTGGTGGTGCACACAGTCCTTTTATCCTCGTCCCAGCCATTAAAGAAAACTAATATGAATGACAAACAAAGCTTTTCTTCCTGTGTGTCTGCCTTAGGCTGGACGTAATATGCAGGACCCAGAAGCAAGTTTCTTTACCTTTGAGCCTTTTCTGTGATGTTCACTCTCATAACTTAGTTTTCTCTTCTAGAGTGCAAACATGAGGACACAGCTGTATTGACTTTTTTTTTTATAAAGCTCTACTAGTTTCTTGAGGCCATTGTAGCAATTTTCACAAACTTGGTGGCTTGAAGTGAGAAATGTATTCTCTTGCAGTTCTGGAGGCCAGAAGCCCAAAATAAAGGTGTTGGAGGCTCTGGGGGAGAACTTCTTCCTTACCCTTCTAGCTTCAGGTAGTTCCAGGCATTCCTTGGCTTGTGGCCACAATTCTCTACTCTATCTTCACATCACCTCCTCCTGTCTCTGGTTGTAAATCTCACTCTGCCTCTTATATAAGGAGGAGAGAGAATCATTGATTGGTTGCCTCCTGCATGCCTCACACTGGGGATGGAGCCAGCAACCCAGGCATGTGCCCTGACCAGGAATTTATTTTTTATTTTTATTTTTCTTTAAATTTGCACACTTATTTATTTATTTTTTAATCAATCTTTATTGTTCATAAAGATTGTGAGTTTGATCCCCAGTCAGGGCACATACAAGAAGCAACCAATGAATGCATAAATAAGTGGAACAACAAATAGATACTTTCTTCTCTTTCCCTCTCTCCTCACTCCCTCCCTCAATAATCAGTTTAAAAACAATTTTTAAAAATAAAGAGTGGTGCCCTGACCAGTTTGGCTTAGTGGATAGAACATCAGCCTTCAGACTCAAGGATCCCAGGTTCAATTCTGGTCAAGGGCATGTACCATGGTTGCAGGCACATTCCCAGTACGAGTGTGCAGGAGGCAGCTGATCAATGTTTCTCTCTCATCGATGTTTATAATTCTCTCTCCCTCTCCTTTCCTCCCTATAAAAATCAATAAAAAATATTTAAATAAAATAAAAATAAAGAGTGGCCCAGAGGGTGTGGCTCAGTGGTTGAGCATCAACCTATGAACCAGGAGGTCACGGTTCGATTCCCAGTCAGGGCACATGCCCAGGTTGGGGTCCCGATCCTCAGCGGTGGGCTGTGCAGGAGGCACTGAATCAATGATTCTCTCTCATCATTAATGTTTCTATCTTTCTCTGCCTCTTCCTTCCTCTCTGAAATAAATAAAAATATAGTTTAGGGTGGGGCAGGGGTGGGCTAGAAGGAGTCAGTGGGGAAGGAAAGGAGACATCTGTAAATACTTGCAACAATAAAGAGTTTTTAAAAAAATATATTTTATTGATTTCTTACAGAGAGAAAGGGAGAGAGAGAGAGCTAGAAACATCAATGAGAAACATCGACTAGCTGCCTTCTACACGCCCCCTACTGGGGATGTGCCCGCAACCAATGTACATGCCCTTGACCAGAATCAAACCTGGGACCTTCCAGTCTGCAGGCTGACGCTCTATCTACTGAGCCAAACTGGTCTCGGCAATAAAGAGTTTTTAGAGTAATGTGGTTTCAAGAAACTAACTTTGCATATTTGATGTTTTTCTTTTTGTCTTTAGCTTGAGAGTAACCAGTAAGAGTAAGGAGTCGGGGCTTTCTGACCTCACCAGGCCTCGGGTTTGCCATCCTGACTGTGGGCACATCAACAGAGGCAAGCGCAGATTTACCTATGACTACTCCGAGCTGGAAAAGAAGGTTTCGTGCTGCTCTCCTCCCCCAGACTACAACTCGGTGGTCTTGTATTCCACCCCACCTGTCTAAGATGTGACAGCCTGATTTCTAGAACCACATGCACACTTATACCCCTAGGAAACGAGCTTCTGCCAGTATTATACACATAGAAATGTGCTCCTCTGCCTTTCCGCAGGGGCTAGATGCTGCCTGTGGTTTCTAACAGTGCTTTTTCCTTTTGACTAACCAGACTGTTACCCCCAGATAAATAGAGTAAGAGTGACACGTGAAGGCCAAACCCTCAGTCAGTGTGTTAGAGAAATTCTTTCAAGTCCAATGACTTCCTGCTCCTTGCCCCCAGGCCTCGGGCCTGGACAGTTCAGGAAACACACTGACCATGCGGTGCAGCATGCACCAGGGACGGCTGCCCGAGCTGGCCGACGCAAGCCCAGGCTTCCAGCAGACATGCTGTAAGGAGGAAAAGGAAGAAGGGAGAAATGAAGAAAAGAGAAAACAGGACAGAGCGCAAGAAGGGAGAATTTGAGCTGGACAATGTGGTAGGAGTGGGAGAGGGCTACCAACAAGGACACTGAAGAGGCTTCTGAAACCCTATGGAAGCCACTCCATTCGAGAACCCAGCCAGGGAGCCAATAGAAGAGAAGGATGAGGGGAATTTTTCTGGACTCTGGGAGGCAAGAAAAGGACAAACACTTTTTGAAACAACAAAGCATATTTTAAAAAATTAGCTGCAGGACTGGTTCTCTGTCCATTCCCATATATGACATGTTTTTTATTTCTGTCACTATGGCTGTTGCTCAGATCTGAGCCCACACTGACGGCTCCTCTAGCAAGTACACTGAACACTTACCCTGATCTCAGCTGGAATATTAGTTCAGGGCATGTAGCATATTGTTCGTAGTAAGCTAACTGGAACGACTGGTCTGTGAGGGTTACCTGTTGGGCTTAAAGCCCCATTTAAAAAAAAAAACATCAGATTCTATTTTGAGTGTTAATGTATAGTCAAGACACTTAACTCAATGTTTTGCATTTGTCTATTTTGTACAGTTAGTTATAAAAGGAGGCTGAGGAGAATGAAATGCCACAAAACAAGGGCAGAAGGAATAAGAAAGATGAGGCAGTGAAAGCCCTCTCTGTGCCAACCAAACCACCGCACTGCGACAGGCCTGGAGGCTATGTGATGGGGATTCCACTCTCCAGTCTGTCTCCTGGGAAGGTGTGTTAGAGAATTAGCCAAGGTTCATTAAGCACTTTATGCCCCTTGAGAAAAAGGTGATATGTGAAGTATTTCTGGGATTGGGACCAGGACATTAATCTGCCATCAATAGGAGAAAAGCCTCTTTCATAGGCTTTGGCCTTGCCTGGGCCTGAGGAGGATGGCAAAGGGAACAGGTGCTCAGGGTGCTCACTCCCCAGGCTAGAGGGCCGGGATCTGCTCGGATTCCGCCTGATGCACTGCATTTGGAATGTTTAGAGCCTGTCAGAGCTGGGAGACAGCAGGGAAGATACGGTTCCCTTGATGCAACTTCTCTGTAGAACCTGGAATATAAGTAATAGCAGCATCCTGCCCATGTCAGTCTTGTTTCAAGGTTTTTGGTGTGGAGAGATGGGGACTGGGCACATCCCCAGCAAGCCAGTGGCTTTGCAGGAGGGGCCTCCGACCAGCAGGGAGTCAGGCCTCTCCACCAAGCCGAGGCCCTACAAAATCAGGCTGTGGGGGAAAGCTTTGCTCTTCCTCTTCTTTACTGGAACAAAATCTCCAGGGACAACTGGCAATAGTGTAAAGCAGGTAACCAAGAGGAAATTAAACACAGGGAAGGTAAAAGAAGACCTCAATCCATTCTCTAGTTTTTTTCAAATTAGGTAAGAACCCAGCAATTAGTGAAAATCACAGAAAACCTTAGCCATATGCATTATGTCCTGATTTTAATGATCTCACTCTTAATCATAGAGACCTTAATAATACCACCTGGAACAATCTATTATTGATGACAATTCCTCTTTTGAAAGACTCGGGTGTGTAGCCTATGTGAGTCCATCCATCCAAAAAGGTTCCCATCTGGAGTCCCGGCACAGACAGGAAAACAGGAGCAATGTGTGGAGGGGTAGTTGCATGGTGCTTGCCACAGGCGAGATCATTAAAATGGCACTGAAAACTGAAACACTAATTAACTGATGATATTAAATCACTTGTCACTTATGACAAAAATGGTTGGCAGTGGCAAGGAAAGAACCAGCACCTCTTTTAGGATTTGTGAGATAACGTATGTGGAACTGCACAGGCGGGAGGGGACAAACCATATGCAAGTGTAGGTCTCATTTAAGAAATGCCGCCCACACGTTATGTGAGCCCACCCAACAGAGCTGTCCAAATCCTGGAAAATGTTATTTAGGTCTTCTAGCTGTGCCTTACTTCCCAGCCTGGAAGAATGTCAAACATGAAACATATTTGCCAGCCCCTTTGAGCTGACTAAAGAAAGACTGACAGTGGTAGTAACTATATGTATATATGCGTGTGTTGTGTGTTTGGTGCAGAACTATTTAAGGAAACTGGAATTTTAAAGTTACTTTTATACAAACCAAGAACGTATGCTGCAGATATAAGAGATAATTTGGTCCTTTATATCTAGTCACTATGAATGTATTTTATATACTATCTTCATTTAATAAAATTAACTTCCCAAAACATCTATGTATTTTCTTCCTAATCTATACATATAAAGATGTAATATGCAAATTAGGCCAGGACTCCACAATGGGTCACAACCAGACAGGAGGAGGTTGTGTGTGCAAGTGAGGTGAAACAAAGACAGAGGCAGGGGGCCTGCCTGAGACAGCACGGTGGCTCACGTGGCCCCAGAGTGGACTCCGCCAGGAGGGCCCAGGGACGCTGCAAGTCAGGCACAGGCCCCAGCCTTTCGCGATGCCAGTCCAGCCTGACTCCCGTTGTGGCCAGCGCTGCATGAGTCAGATGCAGGTCCCGGCCACCCCCTCCCCAGGGTGCCTCCTCGCATGGCGGGAGCGGGCATCTCCTCGTGCGATTTCAATCATGCACTGGGCCTCTAGTTTGCTTATAAATGAGAACAGGAGTCATACGTTTCCCCAGGGGTGGGGAACTGATGTTCTGGGAGATCTCATCAAACCAATCATTAAAGCACAAAAGCAAGCACTGCTAGAGGCAAAGAGCTTTCTCCCAACACTACAAAATGGTTACTCTTAACAATCAGGACACTGTGAACAGTAAATAAAATAAAATCCAACTAGGCAGACTGCCCAGAAAACTAAATACTAAAATGAGGGAGATCACAAGTAAAACGTAGAGTGCGGGCTGCAGACAAAAGTGCCCTCAGTTTAAAAAGAGACAGGCTTTTCCAAACACTAATTTTCAGCTAATAAACAATTACTATAACTAAAGAGGGGAGTGTGTATGCCTGTGCCTGAGTGTGCTTGTGTGTATTAGAGATTGTGTACAAGAAACCATCCTATAGTAATAAAAGCCTAATATGCAAATTAACCATCACTCCAACACACAACATGGCCACCCCCTTGTGGACACAAGATGGCCACCACAAGATGGCCAGCAGGGGAGGGCAGTTAGAGGTGACCAGGCCATCAGGGAAGGGCAGTTGTGAGGGACCAGGCCTGCAAAGGAGGGCAGTTGGGGGCAACCGGGCCAGCAGAGGAGAAAAGTTGGGAGTGACCAGGCCAGCAGGGGAGGGCAGTTAGGGGTGATCAGGCTGACAAGAGAGGGCAGTTAGGGGTGACTGGGCCAATAGGGGAGGGCAGTTGGGGGCAATTGGGCCAGCAGGGGAGCAGTTAGGCATCGATCAAGCTGGCAGGGGAGTGGTTGGGGGGTGATAAGGCTGGCAGGCAGAAGCAGTTAGGGGCAATCAGGCAGGCAGGCAAGTGAGCAGTTGGGAGCTAGCAGTCCTGGATTGGAGGGGGTGCAGGCTGGGCTGAGGGGTTCTCCCCTACCCCCCATGCATGAATTTCATGCACTGGGCCTCTAGTCTATATATATAAAAGCCTAAGTATCTGTGATAACCAGATGACTGGTTGTTATGATGACACACTGACCACCAGGGGGCAGACACTCAATGCAGGAGCTGACCGCTTGTGGTCAGTGCACTTCCACAGCCAACCTCCCATGACTGACCAACCTCCAACAGTCCCTCCCCTCGCCCTGGCTGACCTGGCACAAATTGCTGGCCAACCTCCCACAGTCTCTTCTCCCTCCCACCTTCCTCACCTCATACTGGCTGACCCTGATTGCCAGTCAGCCTAAGGGACCCCACCCATACACGAATTCGTGCACTGGGCCTCTAATACAAAATAATTAGGCAATATCCCACGACAAGAACTTCCCTAAGAAAAGTACACTACCTCTAAATATTCTAATTTTATTTTATGGATTAAATCCTAGAAAGAGAAATAAACAATTCAGACAATCACTATCAACATAGAATAAGTGACCAATAACACATTGTCTTAGGAAGTGGTCATACCATCACCTTCCTAATAGCATTATAAGGAACAGAGGCCTGGTGCACAAAATTCCTCTCCAATCTGAGACTGCTAGCTACTAACTGCTCACCTGCCAGCCTGATCGCCCCCTAACCACTCCCCTGCTGGCCGACTGACACCTAACTGCTCCCTTGCCAGCCCGATAGCCCCCAAGTGCCCTCCCCTACAGGCCTGGTTGCCCCCAGCTGCCCTCCCCTGCAGATCTGGTCACCTCCATCTGCCCCCCTGCTGGTCTGATCGTCCACAACTGCCCTCCCCTACCAGCCATCTTGTGTTGGCCATCTTGTGATGATGTCATGTGAGGGCATGATGCCACCTAGGCTTTTATTATATAGGATTAGATTGGAGGGAAAAGACCTGCTTTCTTTGGGGGGGAAAAAAAGGCAAGGAATAAAAAAGAGGCTAAATAACTAATCTCAGTAAATGTATGGTTAACTAAAAAGACAAGAGGCATTTTTATCTTCAAAATGTTTATATTCTCTAAAAATATTATTGGTTTTCATAATACACTCACTCATTTAGGCAAATGATTTGAAGAATGCTTGAGG